ATTGGAACAGAGCCGCAAAATTTTCCTGATATACCTATTTCGGAGGAAATGGGGCCTCACCTCGAAGTTCGGACATGGCCTCGAAATCTGTGTGCATATTATTCAGCTACACAAATCTTTACTCAAAGATAACTCTAATCCTGGTATCCGGCTTACAACTAATTTTTAGCTTTGAAATCAGCTGCTAAGTTTATCAAATGTCCTTTATTTTTGAATCGAATTAGCACCGTTAGCAAACATTTGTCTAACCATGAAACAAAGTCCATTCGATGCCGTCGATTCCCCCAGCTAGTACAATTGTGAGTCATTTGTCGAATCCCATCGTCGCTCAGCGGAAATTCATCAAAACTTAAAAGTTCCTGGATTTTTTTGTTCATTTTTTCTTTCATACAAAAACAACTCCAATGTTCCCGCTGAATAACGAGAATCCCGGATTTCTCCCCTGCCCATTGAATAATGTAATATTGGGAATCGCCAGACGTTGTCACATTGACTCGACTGAAATTTTGCCTCGATGTGAGTTGGCCATCCTGAAATTTTGGCTTTCGTTTTCCAGAGGCAAAGTGCAAACTTCATAAGCTGTCCATTCATTGCTATTCGTATTAGTGATATTTCTCGGACTCGAGACACAAATCTAGAAAAAAAATTAAAGGCTGTAACAATTTTGCTGTAAAGCTGTAATGTTGTAACAACAAGCCATTTAAACTTACAAATCTCCAAATGTAGGGATCAATTGTGACTGGGATCACTTTTGTCCCATTCAGCCTCACCCATCGATCAGTGATTGAGAGAAATTTGAAGGACCCTTGCTAAATTTGAAAATAAAGAGAGAGAAAGAGGACCGTTATGATACCAAAAATCAAAGCTGATAAATGGCGGTTGTTCGGGAAGTGGTTGAGCGTGTTGGAGTGGAGGGAAGAAACCCCAGCCACATAAAGTAAATTCTCTGGAAAGGATTTTGAGTTTTATAAAGAACAAGCAGCACATAGTTCTGCTAGCTAGAAACACCAGATTCCAAAACAAAATTTCTCTTGTCAATTCAGAACCAAACTCTGTCGCTTTAACTGGCTCTGGATATTCCTTTTAGATTTTTAGATTTTACAGCCAGCTATTAACTTTTAACACTTTTTTCATTAGCTATGAGATTATATCTTCTTTACCTGAGTAAAAAGTGAATGGGATTCCTTGCGTGGTGATTTACTGACTACTTCGCACACCATTGTAGTGCAAGATTAAAGCTGAGCGATGAATCTGGAGAAATTCTATGAACAATTTCCCTGATAAATTGAAACCTTTTGGCATATCGCAGAAAGGTCCACCGGGAATATGACGGACACAAGCATTTCCCTTGAATCTTTGATCATCTCCAGTCGCATTCTTTGACATGTTCCACCATTTTGACAAAACACTCCAATGTTGCAGGCTTGCTGAAGAAAAGAGAATGCATTATAAACGGAACAAAAAATCGATACCGATATGTCAACGTGAACATTCGTCACCCATCCACGTTGGATCACAATCAATGTCACCAAGCACTTTCGTCGAATTTGTTCTTAAAAAAATTGTTGTTTTAAATCAGGTTCATTTCCCCAACAGGGTTAAGCAAAATCATTCGGATAATACTTTTGGAAAACTAGTTGTCGCACGCGTAATTTATTTTAAAATATCAAGTGTTATATAGAGAATTGTAGCTCTTAATCTTGGCTACATTTATCTATCAAAAGCTTCCTTAATCAGATGGATACAACTCCCATTTAACAAGTCCTTGAAATGAGCACTAGTCAACCTCTACCCGGTGCGCTGCCATTTTTTGACGATTTTCTACATAATGACCCATCCATCATGAAATTTTACCTTGCTACTCCCATGTTGACACTTACCTGAACATCCAATCCTCTCACAGGCCACATCCTCGTAAGCTGAAAAAGTGAGAGTCTCTCGAAAAATTTGTGAACACTCACAGCCGTTTTGGACAGGAGCAGATATATCCAGAAGTGACATCATTTGCACAACTTCCCCATTTTGACATGGGAACAGATTACAGTACCTTTATTTCAATGTTTGTCGGCTACCAGGTCTCAATCAAACCTTATTTCCAATGAACAACCCTTTCCCACCCCATGTATCCAAGAGGAACACACGTGATTTTTCTCCAAACTGACTCGCCTTAAATAAAACTTTATTGTGACTTTTAATTAGAAATAACTCACCAAAGATGTTTAGACAATACCCGCCATTTTGGCATAAAATTGAGAAGAACAACCCGATAACTGGATCGATGCAATAATCGCCTAAAACGATTTGATTTCTGGAATTAAATGGTCGTCTCACTGGCAGTGATTTGGGGTAAACTTGATTATCGATCTTTTTTGATAATGACCATAGTTCATTTAAAAATTTATCATTTAAAAAATCTAAACGAGTTGTGTTCCATGCTCTACACATAAACAGCCCTCAACTTGGACTATTTATGCTTTTTCTACATAAATTTGGTACCATTCGAAAGCTCTCGAGTTCCTCTATTTTTTGGAAAAACGATTTAGAAAAATACCCAACGAGAAAAAAGTTATGACCGTTTGTAGTTTGGATAGTTTGTCATTTGGTAGTTTATAGCGGCATATGTATAATGCTAATCGTGATTGAGCGCTATTGATTACCTTCTTGATCGATCAAGAAACATATCTATTTTGGTCACCTTCGTCTTAACATGGTTCTTAAAAGTTTTGAACAATAAGAAAGATTTTTGGATCCAAAGTATTAAAGTTGAAACACAGCTGTGCAGGCTTATACCACTAATAATAAGAGAATTCTGATTTTCCAATAGAATAAAACTAAACGAACCCACTCCATCCATCAAGACAATGACATTTCCCCCATCCGTATCACAAATACCATTTACGCAAAAGAGATCACATTCATCGATTCGATCCTAAACTGATGCTTGTTTTTTAGAAAAAGTCAAACTCATTCCCACCTCACATTTCCTTCCTTGATAGCCTCGGTTCACAAAAGCAAAAGTACGTTTATCGTTGAGAAGATTCGTAAAAATAAGCGTTTGATTTAACAAACAAGTATCATCGACTTCACAATAATTGATAATTGTCTTGACAGTTTTGGCCAGTAAATCCCTCACGACAGCGACAATGCGTTGTTAAACCATCGATTTCCTCACAAGTACCACCATTTAGACAAGTTGAGTTAGAGTAACTCTCAAAGCTTATATGCACTAAATTGAAAATGAAATTAAAACCTCTGGATTGCAAAGTGGAATTTGATGAGTACAGTATTGACCATTGTAGCCTAAATAAGATATTTTGTAATTCGTAAAATCATTAATATTTTAAAAAGAAGTCAAGGAAGTCACCGAAGTTTTGTCCCTTTATCCAATTGACCTTTGATCTGATTCTGTATTGATTTGGAAGTCTATGGATTATAGAAATACTACAGGGAAGCCGGATTTGAATTTTGTCGCGAGGTTTTTTGACTTGTAGATGATGCCTAATTTATCAAAATCTATTGAACTCATCCAAAATGTAGCAAATTTTCTGTAATTTCTCAAAACATATAACTATTTTTACAAGAAATCTCCTAGTTTTTGAGTTACCATCTTTTCTCTAATAGCAGCGCACCCCTGAGAGCCGAAAGCATCACTACTTTTACGGTTTCCAAGCTTTTGCAGAAGCTCAACACCCTAACCCTCCACTAGATCCCCATCGTCAGCCAGCATTTCCGACCCCACATCGATAGGTTCTGATAAGCGCTTTCGAGATTCCGAGGGAATTTAGGTGACCCTCAGTCCACTACTATTAGAGAAAAATTCCGCGCACTTCAAAAAAGGCCTCTACACTGTCGCTCATTTTTTTTTTTAAAGATAGAGGTTAAATATCCTTTGCAAAATGAAAAATGCAAATTGTACTTAGCTAGAATATCTGAAATAAAAATTATTTGAAATTATAAAACCAATACTTTAAAACTAAATACATGACTTAAAAATGCATTTTAGTATGTTAGAAAACCCTGATTTTTGCCGTTTTTTAAGGAGTGTTTTTGAAAATGGTGGCAAATAAGGGAAAAGTGTGTAAAAAGATATTTTTTCATTTTTGTATCTATTCTAAATGAAGACCTTAGCTTACAATTGATAATATCCTTTCAGCAGCCAGCCTAACGTGAAACACAATATTCTAGGGTGAACCTCTATATCACTTTTCATGCAGAGGACTCTTTTTTGAAGGGTATAACTCAAAAGCTAGGAGATTTCTTGTAAAACAATTATAAGTTTAAGAAACTACAGAAAATTGCTACATTTTTGGACAGTTCAATAGATTTTAATAAACTTGGCATCATCTACAAGTCAAAACCTCACGACATTTCTTTGTTTTTCAAATTTCGGTCACCATGTACATAGAAGCAAGATTACTGAAGTTTTTAAAAGCTTCGACACTTTTTAGAAAACCCGATAACCACCCAGTCCCAATCCATCCAAAGTTCCATTCTTCTCATTCCCTCACCTACTATGACAAACACAGCCCGCCGGTTGTGTTTCTTTGTGCAATGCCCATATTCACATCCCATATTTGCACATTCATCCAGGATTTCGCAAATATTCATCTCTTTTGTTCAAATTGCCCTCTCGACAATTCGCTGTCTCTGCAAAACGCTTATTGCTTTCCAAACTCACAATTGTTCTCATTTACTTCAACAGAATCCGATGATGCATTAAACATCAAATTCGCACAAATGCTCATATTTAAGGGAGTATTAGCTGAAATAAAAGAGTAGACTTCTAAAGGTTAGGTGAAGGCCAGATTTGGCTAGTATAATAGTTAGTAAAATGATACTGTAGATAGTTGAGAAAGTCTGGGACTGGATGTTTGTTGTCCAGATGCAAGAATCCATTCGAGTGGTGGACGCTTGTTCGGGCGATTGTTGGGTTGATGGGAATGTGGAGGCAAAGATGGTTGTGTCTATTAAAGTTGTTAATGTTTTAGTTGTGGTATTCAGTACAGAAGATCCATTGTTAGCTTCCTGAGTGGTTTCTGAGAATGGAATAAGATTAATATTCAAAGACTTATGTTACGCGTTGTCGTTTCCGTCGTCGTCGTTGTTGTTGTTGTCGTCGTCGTCGTTGTTGTCGTCGTTGTTGTTGTCGTTGTCGTTGTCGTCGCTATTATTGTTGAATTCATCGATACTGTTGTAGTATTGGGATAAAATGGAGTTGTTGTTTTGACTAGAAAAAGTGGGTTTAGGCTAGCATTCGTTTTTCATGTTATAATGTCATTTCGATATTTAAATTTGGCACAATTTATGGGTAAGTTACGTTTAGGGTTAAAGTTTTAAAACAAAAAAAGTGTAGTTATGCATAACAAAGATTTAACAATGTTATAGGTCTAGTGCATTCCAACTAATGGCGTTTTCTAAAAGGTGTTTAGGTTAGCAAACAACCGTAATCAAAGCGAGTTTACGTTCAATCACCAAACTTTAGTATTATGCGATTACCAGGCACCTGTACGGTAGATAAGTTAGTTCTATGCATACGATAGTTTTTAATCTTTTAGAAAGCACACTCTAAACTCTAAACTATGTGGTGCTTTGACATTGAATTCATAATCTCATAATACCCATACCAGTATCATTAAGTTGACAGAACTCATCAGTGACATGATATTCACAGAAATCCCCGCTGTAACCTAAAATCGAAGTCGAAATCAATATCAATAGTCGAAAATGATTTTCCTTACCTGATTGACAATTGCATTTAAACGGGATTGTCATATGGATCAGATGGATTGCCATCTGGATCAGATTGTGGCGGAAACTCGCATACACCATGACCCATTTCACACTGGCATTTTTGAGGTTCTGGAGGGAAATTACTTGATAAAAGTGGACATTGATTGCCCATCTCATCAAAAGAACTTCCTAAAAATTGATAAGAAAGAGATTTTCGTAAACTTTTTATATCTTTTGTATAACTAGTGGGTTTGCTTAAAAATTCCCAAATTTCCCAACCCGTCTGACACTTGAGACTCTTCATTTTCTGAACTTTTTCCTCATTTCGTTCTTCACAACGTTTCCCATGAAATCCCTCTAAAAATTCATTTTTTAAAGAAACAAGTTTTTACTTTTTACAACCTTTACAATGACAGATATTTGTATGATTCTCAAAGAGACAATCTCCATTGTTAAAGCAATAGTTCGAAGTGCACAAATCAAGAACCAAAGCACAATCGTTTCTGAATTCAATATGAAATTTTTTTTTTCTTTAAACTAATTTACCCAAAATATCCAATTGGGCATTCACAAATGAGCGCTTTTTCCTCACAAATACCACCATTTTTACAACCCAATACTTGACAAGTGGCTTAATGGAATTGATTTAATATTTATTTATTTATTTATTGGAGATTTATTTAATATTAAAGTATATGAAACTAGGAAAATATCTTGATTCATCTTGATTCATCTACCTGCTACACATTGTGAAACATTTGACGAAGCTGATTTCATTGTTGTCATCTCTTTTGGACATTCATGACAAAGACCATTCATTTCAAATGATCCACGTGGACATTCGATGCATTCAATCATTCCATCAATAGCCATTGATTGATATCCAGGAAGACATTTAGCTGAATTCATTTTAATTTCATTCAATTTACAAGAAAACGATTGTTCTCACATGCAATTTGCACTGCATTTGCACATTATTTGGCTAGGATTTGAAGCGAAACTGTGCGAAAGTAGAAAAACAAAACAAAATAAATTTCCAAAAAACCCTGAACCAGCGACTAGCCATTGCTGGGGTGGCTTTGCGCCAAATTTTTTTGCGCAACCGGCTCTTTGCGCAGCTCACCATAACTTTCTTCTAAGCCAATCTTTATGATTTTGATGTCATTTTTTGTACTTGTTGAGCTCCATAAAATGACATCAAAAAACATAAAGATTAGGCCACTTAGAAGAAAGTTATGGCAAACTGCGCAAAAAAAATTAGTCTTTGCCGTTGCCGACGTCATTAAATTGAGAGATCGAAATGGTGAATCGGGTTAAATTGTTATAAAGACAGTTTTTAATTAACTTTTCAATAGAATAGCTGAATATTTTGTGTTTTATGAGTACATAAAGAATCTAAATGGTTTTCTATTTGCTTAGCCTCTAAAAAAGGACATTGGGGTAATCAATCTTTTTAAAAAAATCTTGATGATGATTAGAAATAAAAATTTCATAAACTTGTAACCAACCAAGACAATCACTCCTCGATTTCATCCCTTTCTTCAGCGTTATCATATTGTATGGACATTTAGAGCAAAAAGATGATCCCGAATACTCCTAAAGTATTTCTTATCATAGAGATTCTAAAGCTATACTTGATAGAAGCCATAATCACACGGAAGACAAGGAACTAAACCATCAATTGAATAGAAACCCGATGGACAAAGAGCTGAAATTGAATGATCGTAGAAATTTTCTTCAAATTTACAAATGCATTGATTCAATCGAGTCGATCCTTCTTCTGAAGTAATCGTATTTGGCGGGCATTTCTCACAAGAAAGTGATCCACTTTTTGATGAGTACAATCCAATTGGGCAAAGCTCACAGCCATAACCATCTTTATGAAAATATCCTGATGGACATTCAACTAAATTTTTCATAAACGTTGATTTGACGTCAGCAACAACTCACCACAGATATGATTTCGTTTTTCCCATCCCGAAGGACAACCAGAAAACTTTTGCTCATAAACTTTAGAGGAGATCTCACAATTTGGTAGACTTGATACAACGTATTCATCCTAAACATAGCCTTTCATTGCTTGATTTGCTTGATATTACAATAAACCTGTAACTTTTGCAGTACCTCGAGTGCAATCTCCATCAATCGTTCCTTTCCAATCAAAGGAAACACTCAAATTTGTGCCATGATTCGATGAATGAACGAAATTGATGTATTCCGGTTGACAGAAACGATCGGTTGCAATGAGAACTTGATGTTTTAACTAAATATCTGAATAATAAACATTTCGAATTATCAAATACTTGATTGACAATGAATTCGGCACAATTTGGCTCACTGTTTTTTGTGAGAGAATAGGAAAAATATCGATCGGAAGTTGATTGGATCGATTTCTGAAATGAACAAGTGACAAATACAGATCAAAAAGATCAACTTTGACATTTCGGAATGGTCGACGTTTGATCAGCATTGACATTGACAATCCATTCATTCAATGGATCACAAGATATTGATGAGATCTGAAGCTATATTGCTGTAGTTAAAAAGGACGACAAACTGACAACTAACCAGCTTTCATCCATCCCACTAATCTATCAAATTAAGTATTTTTTTGTAAGCTTAAACTACCGTAAGACGTATTTAAATAGATTTCAAGTTTTGTCAATATTCAACTATCCGAGAAACCGTTTGGATTCTCGGAAAACTGGGGTTTCTTTTTGGCAAAATACGAGTCTTTTCAGTGTGAAAAGCTATGATATGCAAAACTCAAAGAACCCTATACCAAAGAACTTTGCCAGATTTTAGAGCGATTACATGTCCGCAAAAAGAACACCGGTTACTTTACACAGTGCTTTTTCTCGTTCTGTAAATGATTCCCAAATGAGATTTAGTGTTAAAAATTTGTGCCCTGGGGTTTTCATGGTCGTAGAACCCATTGACGAGTTGACGAGACGAGTACGGTTCCTATTTTGATCCAATACGGCTCCAATACGGTTCTTTTTTTGATCTAATACGGTTCCAATACGGTTCCTTTTTTGATCTAATACGGTTCCAATACGGTTCTTATTTTGATCCAATACGGTTCCTTTTTTGATCTAATACGGTTCCAATACGGTTCCGATACGGTTCCAATACGGTTCCTTTTTTGATCTAATACGGTTCCGATACGCTTCCAATACGGTTCCAATACGGTTCTTATTTTGATCCAATACGGCTCTAATACGGTTCTTTTTTTGATCTAATACGGTTCATCTAATACCCATTGACAGAGTTTATTTTAACCTTTTATCTCAAGAAAAGTCCCAAGAGAATCGAATTGGCTTTGGACTGCATATGATAGCTTTTCACAATGAAAGGATTCGTATTTCCGAGAAAAACCAACGTTTAATATAGAAAGAATGACCTGATGTGTCCAAATTTGATTTTCGCCACAAGAATCTTGTCGACAGTTTGTTTTATTTCCCTTTTGAGTGCACACAAAATTCGGTGGAATCCGTTTACATTTGTTTTCTAAAAGTGCAAATCAATTTTGAAATTCAAATCAATTCAAATCAAACCTTTAAAAGAAACATAAAATTCGCAAAAGATCTCTTGATTTGAATTCTCGTCATAGATTTGAATAAAATGAGCGATTGAGGTGTCGATAAATGATCCATTTTCTGGATGAGATTTAATGTTTTTCATTGAAAAATCGGGAAGGATTAATTGCTGCGTTTGGAAAAGTCGAGGAAATTGAGTTCATCTGGGCAAGAGATTTCGATTGATTCGGGTCCTGAAAACAAAAAATGAACAAAAAACCGTAATGAAAAGAAAATTGAAAATTTTCCCCACTTGTTTTCACCAAGATCGGCATCACGCATTCAGTGCTTTTTGATGTAGATCCGTCACTTTCCATTTAATTCTCTCCATTTCTTTTGTCAACAAAATCTTTCCATCAAATAGTGGCATGTTCGATTCAATTTCATAAAATGGGGTATTGTCGGTGATTTTTGGAAGTGGCACAGCGAAAATGATTGGATAAACACCGGAAATTCGAGAATTAAGACTAGAAAATCACAAAGGAAAACCATTTTTTTGCACTTCGATTGCTTCAACGCATTCCAATGAAGTTCGCCTTTCATCCAAACATTTTCCGAATCCCGTTAAAGTTGGCTTCTTTTCCTAAACAATGAACGCTTATCTTTGCATAGCTTTGCAAAATTTACATTGATAAATGCTATACGATCGTTATTTTTCAAAATTTTAACTAAATAGATGCTTAAATAAAGGCTGACTTGGTTATCGTAACTTGTAGCAATTCGTAGATGTTACAGTAACCCGGGAAATTGATACTGATAAGGGAATGGTCTGAACTGACCGGACGATTTCGCTACGCCGCTATCGAGCATGGGGAACACGATAATTTATTTATTTTTTGCCCATTCTCAATGGTTCACAAGCAAAACGCTTGCAGGAGGAAAAAATCTTTAAGCCAAAAAGTACACCGTTAATTTTCAACTTTTGGATCGTAAATTTCAATTTAGCCTTCAAAAATTATTATTGGATATTCTAAAATAAATAAAAAGTGTTTTTAAAGGTTTAGCAAAAGAAAACAAGAAAAATTTACGCAACCGGATCCGCACCAGGGTCAAAAATGCAAAAGAGAGATTGAGAGCGCGCACATTTACCTCGACACCATACGGTCACGTTTGAGCGCAAGAGGAAAGAGCCCAGGTATATCCCCGAGGGTGCCATTTCCCGAGTAGGCGCCCAAACTTTGCAAGCGTTTTTCTTGTGAACCATTGAGAATGGACAAAAGATAAATAGAGCATCGTGTTCCCCATGCTCGATAGGCGTTTGCATCTTATGCGGCGTAGCGAAATCGTCCGTTTCAGTTCGGATCATTCCTTTGTGAGATCCTACTGTAACTTTGATTAACTGAAGCTAGAAAAAGAGAAGATCTATTAAGGAAATGATCTAAATTTAAGTCAGATTAGGATTCTAGATGGAATACCGGAATCCAGGCAGTCTAGACTGAATACTCTAATCTAGACGGAATACTTAAATCTAGAATGAATACCCTAATCTAAACTAATAACAGTGATCTAGTTTTTTAGAGTATTCAGTCTAGATTAGAGTGTTCAGTATCCTTTAGTGCTAGCCGTTAAATTCAAATTGCTTAATTGAATACCGTTTGACGAAAATCGTTACAGTAATCTCGATCACAACAATTCGCCGATTCTTCCAAAATACAATCCCTAAAGTTCAAATTTGCATAAATAAACATTCTTCATTTATTCACTCTTTTTATACAGCCTTGATCGACAAATTTTGTATCCATATAAAAAGCCAATTTACTATAACAGATCTCTCCTCGGTCGCATTGTTTTATCGTTTTACAATCGGCATCATTTGAACAAGAATAACATTTTGTACCTGGAATTTAAACAAAATCAAATAAAAATCAAGAAAATCAAGAAAATGACCTCTTTCAACGCATTCACCAAGATATTCAGCTTTCCCTTCGCGACATTTACACGATGAAACACTTCGGCTTCGATTCCAAATACCATCTAAACATACAGGGTGATCAAAAAAGTTCCCACTCTACAAAAGAAGCTCGATTTTTCAGCTAAAACCCAGCTCAAAATCCGACTTATTATCTAGTATTTTGAAGCTGAAATCCTGGGGAGCATTTCTACACCTAAATCATCCTGATCAAAGCCACCTAGCTCTTCAAAAAAAGCATTGTAGTGCACTGGAGGGAAGCTGTCATCGCGCTCACCTATTTGAATCTGTTTTCAATCGAAAAAACCTTTTAAATAACAGTTAAATTGTTTTTTTTTAAAGAATCAAAAATCTCTAGTGAAAATGAAAAACGTAAAATAGTGTTTAAAAGTTGTTATTTGAAAACAGGCAAATCATAGTTTGTCTCATGGACTGTTTCCCTTGACAGCTTCCCTCCAGTGCACTACAATGCTTTTTTGAAGAGCTAGGTGACTTTGATCAGGATGATTTAGGTGTAGAAATGCTCCCCAGGATTTCAGCTTCAAAATACCAGTGCAAGTCTTCTTAAAAAGAAAATTCTAACCGAGTTCTTTACTTAAATGTTCATCGGCTAAAACCACCTTCAAAATGTTATAAAACATGAAATTTTCTTTTAGCTTTCATTTAGAAAATCATTTATCATTTACAGAACTTTTTGATCACCAATCTTAAACCGAATACTTTCGCTCTAAATTGTTTCGTTTTCTAAAACAACTCGCTTGTTGTTGACAAGTTGACACAACTCGCAATTGTTCACAAGTTGACAACAACTCTGCAAAGTAAGTTCACAAGTTGACACAACTCGCAGTTGTTCACAAGTTGACACAGCTCGCAGTTGTTGACAAGTTGACACAGCTCGCAAAACTAACGTAATCCAGTATCTTTTATTGTAAACTATCGCAGTTTTCCCCAATCTATCACTTTTGATCTGAACTTCAATCTATCTTTCGACCCAGCTGGGAAAAACTCGAATCGTCAGTTGAAACTAGGCAGGCAAAACAAAAACTTGTGCGCCACCCGGCCCCGAACCCACAATCAGCCGCTCACCGGACACAATGCTAACCATCACACCACAACCCACTTTGTGTTCCTTACTTCAGAGGAAGTTAACTAGTCTTTGGCACTATTGATACCTTGGCAAACATTCGGCAAATGATTGATGGAATTCAATGGAATCTTTTGAACACGAGCCTTGAACAAGCTAAAATTTTCATAAGTAATTTTCTCTTTTCCGACTTTACCTGAGCCTTTTTCTCAATTCTTGTCCGTGGATAATGAGTTAAACCAATTTTTGTCTAGAATTTGAATTTCTGATTGGTTTCTGTTTATTTTAAAGCCAAACCTCTGCACAATAAAGGTATTCCAAATAAAGATCTTCAATAAGAATTTGTCCGTCAGTAATGAATTTCAAAAAAAATCTCTTCATTGATAGAGAAATCGGAATCGAGTAATAGCCAGAATTCACGATTTTATAGATTTCTCTATCATTTTCTTCTCTATTTTCTCTATTTTCTTCTCTATTTTCTTGAAGTCTTATTCCAATAATAGAAGTTGAGTTTATCCAAAGATTCAACAGAATCCAATCCGATTCAGTGTCGATTGGGCCAAATCTTGCTGTACTAAATGACTTTTAACATTGATCTTTATCTCTTTATAATCTTATTTTATAATATTTACAATATTTACAATATTCGTTTTATTATATAATAAAAATACCTTTTATCTCCAAATGGAAACCTCAAAATGCGATTATCGTCAAGAACTCTCCACTAAATAAGTTGATGAATGTAATTTGCCTTTTGTTTTTCCACAGTTCAAAATCAAGATCATGAATTTTCAAAACAAAAACTGAAGGCCTATAAACTAATCAAAAACTAGAGCAAAATCAAAGCTTGCTTGGCTTTCCTTGCTTGGCTTGGCCTGGATTATGCTTGGCTTGCTTTTGGCCCAGATTAGGCCAAGGCCAGACTTGGGCTTCACCTTCACTAGCCCAATAGATTTTTCAGATCAAAGCCAAGACAGAATTTCCTGTCTTATTTTTGAAGATCCCTGATCCAACTCTCACCAACTCCTTTAAATTTTAAAATTTAAAAATTATTTCCAGATTAAACCTTTAAGATCTCTATCTATATTTCTCTTTAAGAAAACTCACATTAGAATCGGAAAACTCGACGAACGTCCCGAGTCTCCCTAGTGAAAGAAAGATTTCTATAGAAAAATCGACAAATTTTTTGAGAAATCTTTAAACTACCGGCTTCCGATGATGAAATTGGTGAGTCGTTGAATGAAGGAATCACGGAAACTTTGATCTCTCTTTTCTCAACAATTTCATTTCCTTCTTCCGATGCACAGATGTAAATTCTAGAGTCTGAAATCTAAAAAGAAACTTGTTTTAGATACATCTTTTTTTTTCATTTATTTGTTTTTCACCTTTGTATCGTATTTGACGAGTAACACTCGTGCAAAGTCGTCAAATATTTCGATTTTTGTTGCATTCATTTTTTCAATTCTTTTCCCTTCTTCATCTATCCAATAAACTCTAAAATAAAAGTGAGCATTTACCATTTATCAGTTTTGAAATTGTTTTCAAAAAAATCGGGAAACGAAAATTCATAATCCAACGGAAAACTTCTATATCTTAACCAATTTCACTCAAATCTTTTTGGCTTTAATTTCAATCGATAGAAAATTCAATTCTGCGTCAAGTGATATTAAAAATCAAAAAGATTGGAGTAAAATTGACTGAAATATGCCATTTTTCCGTTGAAAACCTATTGACGTTCATTCACGAAAATTCCCGGGCTAGGCTAATTTCCGCAACAGGGTATTTGCCAACTCGCCATAACTTTCTTCTAAGTGGGCTGATCTTTATGATTTGTGGTGTCATTTTGTTGCACTTATTGAGATCTACAAAATGAAACCAAAATCATAAAGGTTGGTCCACTTAGAAGAAAGTTATGGCCAGTTGCGCAAAAAAAAAATTGCGGAAATTAGCCTACCCCAAATTCCTAGATGCATAAGTGAAAACAGTTCGAGAAATATCGATAAAAATCCCCTATTTCTAAATGCTATCATCAGATTTTACCTATTTTTGCAAGATTGCCGATAATTGCAATATAATGTCAACGTTTCTCCCTCATAAATCGTGATTGCCGAGCTTGCGTCTAATAAACAATTCCTTTTTGATAGAAAAGAGCATCCAATTTCAGATGACCCTAAAATTCTATCTCGTAAACGAAAAAAATGAAATGAAAAATTCTCACCCAAAAGTGTATATCCTGAATATTTACAACTAATTGTGGCAAATTTTCCGATTTCCAATGACCGACTTGTTGCCTCAATCAGTTTATTACCCGGTAACAAGCACTCATTTTTCTGCTTCATTCGTTTATCTAAAATTTATATGCTTTCGAAAAAATGACTTTAATATTACTCAAACTTCTCATTTTTCTCTTTTCCGTTCGATTTTCGGGAGCTCTCCTACAAAAGAACTCGCCAACCCACGAGCCTTTTGGACTACAATACGTCGGATCCCAAGTTTCCTGGAGGCTTTCCTAAAATTTCTAGACATTACATATTTACAGTGGTTCCATTTCAAAGTTCCCATTTCAACTCAAATTTCTGAAAAAGTTTAAGAGACTCAATGTGATGTGAAAGCTGTTTTCTGACGTCACAATTTTTTTGACGTCGTCCATGAAAACAACAACAAATTTCAGTTTTGTTTTGCTGTTCATTTAAGGTTTGTTTTTTTTTATGTAAAGACTTTTTTTTTACTATAAGCTTTGATCTTTTCAGTGTCTACAACTAAGCCACTTAAACTTTTTCAGAAATTTTTAGTTAAAATGAGGAACTTAGTGATCGTTTGTATAGTGATCGTTTGTATAATGATCGTTTGTATAGTAATCGTTTGTATAGTAATCGTTTGTATAGTAATCGTCTTACACAATGCCCAGTTCCGACTTCAAACGGTAAATATTGTGCTTTGTTGAGAGAAACCCACGAATCTGATTGACTTCCATTGCATTCTAAAGAAGTTCTTTCAAAAAGTTTTCTTTTTTTTATTCATACTTGGTATATCTTTTTCTTTGTAGATATTTCCCCATAGATCAGTATTGTCAAGTTCCCAAGTCTGAAAGGGAATAAAGAGTGGAATTGAATTCACAAATGTAATTGGATGTTGTAAGTCAAGCAAAGCAGGCAAAGCTAGGCCAGATTCAAGCTTTTTTTGTGGGTCAATTTATAGTAAAATCAGGCCAGGATCTGGCTTAGTCTAACCTGATCAACTTGATAAAATCACCTTTTTAACACATTTCCAAACCGTTTTGTAATAAAGTAAAGTTTCCGAGTGTTCATAGATGGCGCCTGTGTAGACCTGAAATGTTTTTGTTTGCTTTTTTTCTTATTTTTTTCTATTCTATTTCTATTTATGTTATTTTTTTTCACTCACCGAAACAGTCTCGAAATATTTATAGTACAGTTTATCCGGTTCCACGAATTGACTCGTATTTTCATCTTTGATTTTTTCAATGAGATCAAACTTAGAGCACTCTGGTACTGAAAAGTTTTTTGGATCTTTTGAATTTGAAAAATTCTTCAAAAGCCGGCTAAGGAAAGACTAGGGAAGGCTAGAGAGGGCTAGGGAAGGCTAGGGAACCGTAACGAGCCACCCTCGTAACGAGCCACCCTCGTAACATCACCCCGAAGGCACCCCGAAGAGCACCCGTAAGTCACCCCGACGAGTCACCCCGAAGAGTCACCCTCGTAACGGCACCCGTAACGAGTCACCCGAACGAGTCACCCTCGAACGGCACCCTCGTAACGAGTCACCCGTAACGAGTCACCCCGAACGAGTCACCCCGAGAGTCACCGTAACGAGTCACCCCGTAACGATCACCCTCGTAACGACACCCCGTAACGGTCACCCTCGTAACGAGTCACCCCGTAACGGTCACCCCGTAACGAGTCACCCTCGTAAGGCCACGTAACGAGCACCGTAACGAGCACCCCGAACGAGCACCCTCGTAACGAGTCACCCGAACGAGTCACCCTCGTAACGAGTCACCCCGTAACGAGTCACCCTCGTAACGAGTCACCCCGAACGAGTCACCCTCGAACGAGTCACCCTCGAACGAGTCACCCTCGTAACGAGTCACCCCGTAACGAGCCCCCGTAAGATCGTAAGACACCCGTAAGAGTCCCCGTAAGGCACCCGAACGAGTCACCTCGTAGAGTCACCTCGTAACGAGCACCCGAGTCACCCGTAAGAGTCACCCTCGTACAGTCACCCTCGTATCACCCTCGTAACGAGTCACCCTCGTAACGAGATCCACTTGATCTACCGAGTACAGTAGATCAAGTAGATCTACCGTAACCAACCGGAGACAAAGATATCTATAGAGACTAAACAGTGGAATCGGATTACGGTAGCCAAATCAAAAAAGTTTCACAAAAATCTACACTTTTTAAATTTTCACTTACAAATGCAAGAATGATTTTCCCCTTCGATGTAATTTGAAGTACAATTGCAAAAGTACGAATCAGAAAGCTGAAAATATGTTTATGAGATTACATTTCAATCTTACTGTAACACATATAGAATTCTGAAGATCACATTGAGAAGATCCATCAGCACATTCATCGATTGCTGAAATTGGGGAAACTTGGGGAAAAGTTTTCTTTTCAAAAACTATCAAAAACTATTAGGTTGGCAAGTTATAAACGATCGTTTTTGGGTAATGTGTTTTCTGAAAAAACGGCTTATCCAATCAAAAAACGGTTTGCTTAGAAATTAGAAGTGTCAAATTTTAGAAAAATACGATCTAACAGATACTTTCAAATTGTTCTCTACAAACCAATGCACGTTGTCCCGTTGAATTGTTGTTTCAGTGGGCAATTGCATGTGTATCCACCCGGATACCCTGCTCTTTCCATAATTTCCCCATCACCGCACAATTCAGGTGAATATTGTGCTTCTAAAAAAGATTGAATTGAAATTGATTTAGTTGATTTCTTGGTTTTCTACCGATGCATAAATCCGGAAAATCTTGATACTTTCCATCATTCATACATAGAACTTGTTGATTTGGATGAAACCCTTGAACACAATCAGCCAATATCGATTCACCGACATTTGAGGATCGAAGAGAACCGAATGGAATCACTTTTCCAGGACATCGTAACACTAGATTTTATAGATAAAGATTTAAAGCTTTCTTGATATTTCTGGATACCTTTCTGGAAATTGAAATCATTCCATGTGCCAGCACGGGAACATTGACGAAAGGGATTTTGAGAGATCGAGTCTTCGATCAAATATTGAGCCTAAATAACAGAATCTTTTTTTAGAAGACTTTAAAGAAGTTAAAAGTAAAGAAATGAAGCTTCTGGCCTTCTTGTTGGGCCTTCATCTGGCCGTGAATCGGGTTTTAAACATCGAATTTTCAAAGTTTAACTTTTTGTTTGTAAACGAATTTAAAATATTAACTAACAAGGGAAGGGTAACTGGTTGAGCCAACGAAATGCTATGCGATCTATACCATTCGACGCTGAATTTTATGCCAATTCCGAATATATATTCCGTTTTTGTTAAATGACAATCTGTCAGGAAGCATAAGCGTCTAAAGTTTTGTTACTGAAAATGTGGTCTTTTGGGTCTTAGGGGCCTTCTTGCGGAGCCCATTTCGATTGAGCCGTAGCCAAGTGGTAGAGCGTTCGCTTCCAGAGCGACACCTCACGGGTTCGATCCCCGCTTCGGTTTTTTCTTTCACCTTCTTCAAGAAGTGCTGACTAGTGTTCTTTTTTCTTGCGCACACTATATTTTTTGTTGTCACACTTTTATAAAAAACATAACTTTATATCACACAAAGAACACTACTCAGCACTTCTTGACAAAAGGTGAAAGAAAAATCCAAAGCGGGGATCGAACTCGTGAGGTGTCGCTCTGGAAGCGAACGCTCTACCAATTGGCTACAGCTGCAACGAGATAGCTTCCGCAAGAAGGCCCCTAAGACCCAAAAGACCACATTTTCCTAACAAAACTTTATACGCTTATAACTCCTGACAGATTATCATTTAGCAAAAAACGGAATATATATTCGGAATTGGCATAAAACTCAGCGTCGAATGTTATAGATCGCATAGCATCTCGCTGGCTCAAATAGTTACCCCTTCCTTGTAAGTTTACAGAAACGAACCACATCAAATGCTCTCCAGTAATTGCTCGAATTCTTCAGCGTCGCCTCGTTGTACAAGCTTTCCGGAGTGCTACAGTTAACTGAAATCTCTTTCTCGTTTCTATTAAATTTCTGTTTTACCAGGTAAACAAGTTGGATTTGGAGTCCAGTATCGGCCATCGCAATTTGAAGTGAAACTAGCCGCTCCATCAGCGCCAGCGAAACGAGCTCGACACTACAATTACTAGATAAAACTCGAGTTAAAGTTATAAATAGTTTTTTTCAAAAAAGTTGACACAAAAAGCTTTACTTGCACTAGCAATCGATTGCCATCATATTCGACAGGATATCCATTCCTCACGCCTGGTAAAGGACAAAAGGGAGCTCCTTCTAAAATTTAAACACTTTCAATAACTTTTTCTTGCTTTACCTAGACAATTCCCAAGCTCATTTGACCAAATGCCTCCAAATAAACATTCGATTATCGAATTTCCACTCAAAATCCCATTCGGACATTCGCCTTTCATTTGTGTGCCCAATTTGAGGGATTGATTCGATGAGCGAAGTATCATTTTTGAATCAAAAGGAATTGTTGAGCAATCTGTAAAGAAATGAGTAAATTTGGAGCTGAGAGCTTGAGAGAAATTTTTATTAAAAATTTTTATCAAAATTTCTCACCTTGTGAATACCGAATTTTCGCTACAAATCTCCCAGATGCAGATGAAAGGAAAACTTTGACGGGAAACGACGTGAAATAGAAATCGGATGCACAAAGTGGAAGACACGATTTGGTGATTGTTTTCGTGTTTTGAGGAGAGGAAATCTAAAGGACAAATGGTTTAAGACAAATATTCTATGAAATCTTTTGAAATTACCGGAGTTTTCTTTTTCTAAACTGGCAAGCATTTTCCGAGAAAACATTTTCGGATCGCGCATTAAAATGAGTAGCCTTACTTTGCGCCAAATTTTTTGCGCAACTGGGTCATTTGCGCAACTCGCCATAACTTTCTTCGAAGTCGGCCAATCTTTATGATTTGTGGTTTCATTTTTTTACACTTATCGAGATATACAAAATGACACCAAAATCATAAAGATTGGGTTACTTAGAAGAAAGTTATGGCGAGTTGCGCAAAAGACCTAGTTGAGCAAATGACCCGGTTGCGCAAAAAATTTGGCGCAAAGTAGCCTATCCCCTAAAATGCACTAAATACCGTAATCCGCATTTTTGCGTAAAAATAATTTTTTTTGCAACTTTAGCTATTTTTTTTTCTTACTTTTGCGCACTTTACTTTTTTAAAGGTAAACACTGTTTAAAACTAACCGTTAAAACAGACACATCATCGAGAATCAATTCGTCGAAAAGCATTGTGATTGGTTTAAGATCAAATGGTTTAATGTGAAAAGCGAAAGTGAGAAGATTTCGCGATAAATACGTTGATTGATATGGAAATTGTTGCGATGGAGATGGAGATGGAGATGAAGAAGAAAAAGGACCAGTCAAGAAAAGAGTTGCGAATGGAGATGAGATTGATGAGGGACAACCTGTAATTCAAGAAACATTATACTGGATTCAATCCACAAAATGAAATGATTCCCCGATTCCCTGAACCAGGCCAGGCCGGAAGCGAGGTTCAAGAGTTTTTATCGATTGCAAGTGTAAGTTTTTGCAGTCAGGCTAGACAAGAAAAGTCGATCTTTTCTAAAAGCACTCTTCAATCCAAACCTACCTTTGTAATATTTGATATGCAATGAATCAGAAGATCGAATATTTGAAGAGATTAAAGAAATCGTGATACAAGGATCGGCGAATGATGCGACAAGTGGAAGGATTGATTGATCAACCGGGATTAGAGGGGAATTGCACGAGGAAATGTTTAGAAATGAGTCCTCGGGGAGGTGGCCGGTTATCTAAAACATCGAATTAAATTACATTACAGGCACACTCACCACAAGAATCACTCCCAATCGTTGCGAATTCTCGATTCTCCATCGTCTTTCCCCTGGTTTCCCATCGAATTCAATCGAAATCTCTCCTTCATTTTGTCGAAGCCATGTCTCTTGGGGATCTAAGCAGTCATTTTCATTTTTAAAATAATCAATAATCAGCGAATTATTGATTACTCACATTTTCTGAATGATCGATTCCCTTCTTCGCCAAACCATGAGTCAAGTGAATCCACTCTAACCAAATCGATAGTCTAAAGATATAGGATTACGGTAGTTTCTCAAGAGTTGACACATTTTAAAATATGGCACTAGGCAATCCACCAACTTCTTCATCACTTCCATCATCGCAATCCCTAATTTGATCTTGAACAGCCGATTGGGGAATGCATCGAGAATTGTCCACACATCTCCATTCATCTACAATTATGATAACTTTAATGGTTCTTTAAGTTGGACAAGATTACGATAGAGGACAATCCTTTTATTGGTTGGGGGTGGTTAGCGCCGGGATTTGAACCCTCGACCAACAGGTTACGGGTCCGGCTTACCAGCCGAACGCTCTACCAATGAGCTACACCGGCAAGTATCTCATGCCGCCAGGATAGGGCCTTATTTCTTATTTCTTTCAATTTTTAGTCTCACCCGGTCGACATGAGAACGTTTCACATAAAACAGGCAATCGATCCGTGCAATTTCGTAGCGACCATCCAATATCTTCCAAATTTTCGCTTCTAAAATCCTATTTTATTTTACTATATCTATTTCCTACGATATATCCAGCGCTAAACATTTCTCGATTTCATTCCAAAGCGGCTGATTGAATGCCCAAGACGGATTGTAAGCCGAGAAATTTCCGCTTTTCGATGGGCTATTCAAAAGAGTGAGATCCGGCATGTAATAGCCTGTAAAGAAAAAAAGTATTCGACATGAATAATGTGAAATAAACAAATACACAACTCAACTGTCCCAATAGCGCTAAAGATCTTGCAGAAAATCCATATATATGAAAGAAGAGCGGAATTTTCTAGCCGAGGATCGAACCCGACTAGGATACAAGACTGCTAACCAGTCAGCCATGGCAGCAGAGGTAAGGTCCAAGGTCTTACGGTACTAAAAACTAACCCGTCCAAAGTTGACCGCTTTGCCAGAGATTTGCCTTTTTTAACTCTCGAATAATCAAATAAGTGTCGAGACGAGCTGGATAGGAATTGTTTGTTCTAGAAAACAGAAATATCAGTATTTTGCTAGCAATTACCGTTTACAAAGAGATTGCGTCGAATTGAAAGTGATGAGTTGAGTCGGATCGACGAAATAACAAGAAGTGCCCACTTGTTGCCAAGCTGAAATGTAGCTGTATTTTTCCGGGTTACTTCATTCAAAAGCTTGACCTGAGCATGATTTTTGACTTATTGTTAGCCTGGTTCATAAAAATATCTTAATTAATCACCCCAGAAGGCTTAACTTAGAAAAAAGTGCTTGGATAAGGCTTGAACCCTGGGAGAGTTTAGCTCTAAACCTTGAGCCTGAGCTGGCTTGCCTTAAAATCCGATTGAAACATCTCATTGGCATTGTAAAAAAAGAATTGATTATTTTTCAACTATAGCCTTATAAATTGTCAAATTTACGTCAAAAAAAAGTTGATTTAAAGTTGCATTCTTTAGCAAAGAAAATCACAAAAATCACGAAAATGTTTCCAAAAACACAACTTTCTAACCTCTTTCATTCGTCGAGTTTATTTTACAAGTCAATTTGAGGCCTCCTTTCGTCCATGAATATGGATATTGAGCCGAAGCAGATACAATTAAAATAAATAATATGTAGCAATGAATCGGTGGAGGCCATCCAATTTCGATTTCCGGTCTTTTTCTCATCACTGTTCTGTAAAATAAAAGGGATGAAGTGAAGAAAAAAAAATAAGATTGAATAACAGAAAAGAATCAGAAGAGAAACAGGAGCTAATTTCGAGCGTTAAACGAAAACAGAAAAAGAAATAAAGAAAAGAAAAAATCCCCTCGATAGTCATTTTTGGTGAGAGAAGGGTGGGGCTCTCTTTTCGCTTCTTATCACCACACTCCGTGATTCAAAGAAAGCCTAAATGACGAGTATAGAACCAACTTTTTTTTTTCCATAAGTTTGTCCAAAAGCACGGCTTAAGTCTGTAATCGGCTTCTAATGCTGATACTTATTGGCTAAATTGGTGCCAAAATCGCATATCACTGACTATTCAATATCTGCAATTAACTTCTTACGACATTAAAATTAAAGCCTGAATACTGTAATTGGGGTTACTATAGCTACAGTAGAGCTTGGTTACTGTAGCTACAGTAAAGCTTGGTTACTGTAGCTGGAGTATAGGAGTGTCTTTTAGAAAATCAAATAACAATAACTAACAAAAAGAAGACTTCTCACAACGACCAAAATGGAAAGCAGGCCTAAATGTGACTGTGACACGCTTTTCTGAAGATGAAGAGATGAAACAATCAAGAGAGCTCCTCAAAAACAAACACAAAACAATGTGCCACAACAAGAGGCGATCTTTTCTCCTTTTCCCCTTCTTTTCCTCTCATCGAGATCTCCTGAAGTCTTTTCTTTTCCCTTTTTCCCCTATTTCCTTTTGTCCTTTTGATTACCCTCACTGCTTTTCACTCTATTTAACACCTCATTTAAACGAGATTTATCAATAAATACATAAATAAATAAATAAATAAAATAAAGCTATCAAGCAATCACAGATTATCAATAGAAAGACATGGTTTAAAATGGTCTATTTGAGATTGAATACTTTCCGATATCGTTAATGAAGAGTGTTTAAAGTCTAAAAAAAGTCTAGAAATTGATTTTTCTCCAGAAAACTTGGCAATTTACCTCTTCAACCTGTTTCTTTGTATCATTCGGTCCTTCCACCGAGTGTCCGATCACTCTTTTGTCCACATAGATTGCATGATCGTTGCCACCCTAAAAATATTATAGTGTGATGGATGGTAACCTCTTCTCCAAGAACTGCTAATGTTTCCGAATTTATCTAAAAGTTAGACTAATTAAACTCGAGTTCCAATTGATAGACTCAATAAAATGAATAATTCTAATCGATTCCCCGACCCCGAAAACCCTGGGTACAAATTCCCAGCTGAATATCCTTTTATAGCATCTACAATGAAAAAGAAAAATCCTTGAATTTGACCTGTTTTTTCTACAAATTCTGCGTTCTTTTCGTTCCTTGTGTCACTCAAACAGTAGTAAATTTCTGGAGTACTCATTCAAAAGTTCCCTTTAACTCTAAAAACCTCCTTTAACGGACTAGAGCCGTTTTTGTTTCTCTTTCTGTTTCTCTTCTTCTATTTAAAAAGTGCAGATTGAGTACCAAATGGAACTTTAGCAAGAGCATTGGGCCATTCACTTACAGGCATCGTGCGATCGCCAAAGAAATGAATCGTTTCGAAATCGTTCTCCAAATATTGCAAGCAATACGTTTTATCCCATCCATTCGGGTAAACATCCACCGAGATTTGGCCTCCTAAAAACAGTTGCTAGATGTTTATTTACTGGCTAACCAATGGCAAATGTGAGACCATAACTGCTGAATTTCTCCTCTAGTATCTTCACGAATGTTTCGCGGATCTAAAAGTTCGTTTGGTCCACAAGTATCACAATGGGCAAACTTTATGCTCTTTATCGTAGGCAACAAAATGTTCTCTTTCCTCGTGCGAACAGCTTCTTCCGATTGGTGAGAAATTGATCATACCCTGGATTTAGTTGAATTAGCGTAATGCTTGTCTATTTTTCAGCATCCCTCCAGAATTCTTTTTCATGCCCTAACTACAGTACAGTTTTCATTATTTCAAATCAACCTTCCGAAACTCCACGAAATTCCCTCGCTTATGTGGCAATCTCAGCTTCGAGAAGTACTCGAGAACGAAATTGATCAAATCCTGGAGTTTCTCCTCGCCCATTTGATCTTGGATCAGCTGAAATGGGATAATTAGATAAATTACCTGCAAAAAAAAGCTACCTTGGTTGAGTATTGATCTTTACCGTGAAATCCAACGACACCATTTTCGGCGAACACATAGTCAAAACTGCTGACTACTGAAAAAAACTAGGTATTTGTTAAAAGCTAACATTAAACTAAATTAAGTGTTAATTTCAAAAGCTTACACTTATCGTGATCGCTATCGGCCAATTGTTCGGTAATCTTATTCAAATCAGAGCCACCAACGACCGCAATTGGGACACCTTTTGCTCGAACGTCCATCAAGAAGCTACGCATTTCAGGATTGATCCCCTGAGAATAAATTTGGGTTCAAGTTAGGTTATAATTGAATTTGGGAGCCTTTAGAACTCTTAGTTGAAGTAATATCTGTAGAGTATCATATAGGGAAATTAGAGGAGCCTGAGATTATTGCAGGTTTACAGTTGTGAATATCAAAAACTTAGCATGATTGTGTAATGGGGTCAAGAATTCAAATGTGCTGAGGTTGAAGTTGAATGCAAATTGGTTTTAAAAAGCAAGTTATGTTCTTATACAGTGGTGTGACACATTTGCTAATGATTTAAAAAGACCAACAGTAAAAAATTTGCATATCTTACCCGTCTTGCTGCAGTCAGCGTTCCATCAACATCGAATAACAGCAAAGTCTTCCCCATTCTAAATGGCACAATTAGCACTTCAAATATTTGTTTAAAAATGAAGAAAAAGCGATAAATCTTGTAAATTTTTTCTACAAAGAGCATTTTTTTGAAAATCAAAAATTGTTTAAACATTTTTATTCATAATATCAAGATAACCCGTAAGAAGACATACACGCAGTGAATCAAAATTATTAATCGGAAACAAATGAATTTTTAAATCCACGTGGAAAACGTTCTATCTAAGAAGAATTAAATGATGAAATGGAGAGAAAAGGGGAAGAGTGGGGACACGTTTTGTGTACAAAAAGAGATTTAGACGTGGAAAGGAATTGAAGCAATCAAAAAAACGTTGAAAATCAAAGCGGGAAATATTTGATTTCCATTCTTCTATCATAATCTTGGCTCAACTTTCATCCAATCTATCTACTTTTCTAGCTTTCGATGTCTTTTGTGAACCAAAAGAAACGAAGAGCGAAGAACAAAAAGCTACAAAAAGTAGATAGATTTGATAAACTAGAGCCAAGATTACGGTACTTTTAAAAAGATGACACATTTTAGAAAATATTGAGATCTTTCTCACATTTTATCATTAGTAAATAGTGTACTACTGGAAATTCAAATGATGATACGATTAACCAGAACTTCCATCAATAGGCAATTCGGCTTTCGGTTGATGAACCTAAATTGTGCTTTCGTATTTTGAGTCAGAGGTTACGGCAGTTTAGTTTGAAGCTTTTGAGATACTTCTAGAGAAATTTTGAAAGTAGAGTAGCCCAAAGAAGTCGGTAAAGTATAAGATCTAGCCTCACCTCTACACTGGATCCGCCCAAAAGAGTCAAAATATCGCCCATCGTATTCAGCACTCCCATAATTGAGCGTTTTCGATCGCAAAGCTCGTCCAAATGCGTCAAAACATTGAAGCGCTCACATTCCAGGACTCCGAGCGTGTTCTGAATCAACGGTACTCTTTACACAAGCAATTTCGACACCTGCAACCATCGGTGATGTGTGCCACATTCTCTCCTCGCTCGTTGACAAAAACCGTTTGCCATTGTGCGCTCAATGTCATCAAAAATGGAAAACGCCTTTGAAATAGAAATAGAAAGTTTGAAAATGGAAAAAATACTTCTGAGAAAGTTGTCGACGAGCTCGTCAGATCGCCCCAAGCGAGTGGATAGCCACAGATCTGAATAATGGGAAGTTATTGATGAGAGGTTCTGATCAGACTTGCAGGCGGAATAAAGCGGAAACTTGAATATCTTTTAATTATCAAAGAAAAAGTCAACAAATGGGGCAGCTACGTTTTTCCGCCGCAGCGCGTAACTGCCCTATTCGTTGGGTTTTGCAAAAGATATTAAATTTTCCCCTTTTTTTCGGTTTACAAGCTTGGTTCTTGTAAAGTGCTCTGTTTTCTAAGACGTGTAAACATTCGTAAACTACCATAATCTTATCCATTCTATCTGGCATACTTTTTTGTGTCTTTTGTGAACCCCCAAGGGAACTAGGCCAAGGTATTTCATAAAACTAAAGGCCGATTACGGTAGTTTTTTGAAAGATGGCAAGTTTTAGAAAACGGACACGATTAACGTACCTTCATCTCGTTCTCCAATTCTCCTTTATAATGCTCTGCACACATCACTCTCAATCGTTTGCAATACGTGTCACTCGTTTTGTTGTAGACATCGCAAAACAGATTGAATGGGTTCCGGTCGCCCATCTGAAATCATTTTTGCAAGTGTTGAAATTTCGGAAACCCCCACCTGAACATTGTTTCCGATTTCACTCTGTTTTTCCAATCGGACGAAGCAACGCTCGACATGTTTCGGAAACGCTTTCACCGTATATTCAAGGGCACAAACGGGGCAATTGTAAGTGACAACAGCCTAAAAAAATTAAATGTTCAACACTTCCAGTCAAGTCCCTTTACCTCGCTTTCATCTCCCTCATCTTCTTCCTCATCTTCCACTGGTTCAATGTTCTTCACAACCTAAAGCACTTTGAAATTGATAAATTTTTTCCCATTTTTACCTCAACCCATTTTTGCACTCGTCCCATTCGTTCGACTAGCTTTTCGCTTTCCTTGATGCATTCTTCGATCTGAAAAAAAGTAGCTTTTCTTGTCTAAAAACAAAATCATAAGTATTGTATTTTGATTGCATGCCTGAATTTCGACTTTCTTTCCCTGTTCCACGGCTCTCAAATAGTTCAATGGTGGAGCCTCCCAGAACTTCTTTGCGCGATCGGGCAACAGATCCAGACGAGCCTATGCCATCAATAGTTAATCTTACGGATGTTAAAGTGTTTTCTAAAATGTGTCAACTTTTTTGAAATCAAAATCAATCAAAGGCAATCCAAAAGTTTGTTATGACTAAATTTTTGCATGATCAAGTACGGTAGCTTTTTTTCTTCAAAAAAATACCTCTGCTCTCCGTAGCCCACACGCCTCCGAGCAATATTTACTGTCTTTTTGTGCAGCGAGAATACATTCTGGGCCTAAGATTGAAGAATTATTAATTGGGTTGCTAAGATTTGCTATTTTGTTAAACTCTTAGCATACTGAAGTGGTGTCCAAGATTGTTAGTGATCGAAAGCTACAAATCTCCTCAACAATTTAGCATTTGTTGGACTTTCGAGAATTTAACAGGCGAGATTGATATTTTATCAACCTAGATAGATAACACCCACCAAAACATTGAACCGGTGATGGTTCTCTCGCTGCTTTTGCGGCCCGTTTCACCGTTTTTTGCTTTCTCGTCTCGTGCTCTCGATGCGCCTCTTCGATAGCTTTATTGCGAACTTCTAAATTGAATGGGTTGAACGTGCATTCCTTTCAAATTCCAAAACTTGCCAACTTTTAAAACTACCATAATCCATCAAGCTGAATGTAAAAAGCTTTTATCTTAGGTTGAGTACCAAGTCTTTCATCCAAATTCATTTTCTAATTGAATAGGTCTCAAGCTACCAAATGAAATACGGTTTTTTTCATTAGATAGCCCAATCATTTCTCTTGCAAATGACTTCTGAAAGTTTCTGAAAAGCTTTGTTTTGAAGGTTTGGAGGTCAAAATTTCAGAATGATTCGCTTAGCGGTTTTCTTTTTGTGCTCATTTTTCATATTTTTAAAAGTACCAGTTTTCATTCTCGCAGATTATTCTAAAATACTAAAACTTTTTAAAAGATGACAAAAAGTAAACGAGAAAGATTTATAATGAAAAAAAGCCGTTTGGCATTTAGTAGTTTGAAACTCGTTTAGTTAGATAATGAAATGAAGAGTGCAACACTTAGTACTCAACCTAGTAGAATGATTACTGGATCTCGAGCAACTCGTTACCTTTAAAATCAATTTTCGGCTTCACTTCTACATAATAATCTTCATCATCCGAATCATCGGAGATCTAAAGAACGGGAATTCGTAAGCTAAATCTCCAAACAAACCAATTGTTTCCTTTTTCGTCCTCTCCTTTTCTTTTCGGTGCCGACTTTTGCTGCAAAATTTCTTTGTATAGATTTTACTACACAAAACGGTACCTTTCTGTTGTTTTTCCTCCAATTCCTGCTTCAAAATTGGAGCCTGGATGCATTTGAAATGTGGGCATCCTTTGCGTTTGCTCAATTCACACAATGAACAATTCTCTGCTTTGAAACATCCAATACAGCCGCCGCCACAACGAATTTCTGTAAAATAAAGATTTTGAAGTGAATCTGAGAAATTATAACTCACCATTTTCATCGGGTTTCTTGTCGATCACTTGCTCTTTCGGTTTATAGATAATCTTCAATTCGTTGTTTGCCTCAATGCAAGGCGGACAGAAATACGCTTCAATGGTGTTCGCTTCTCGTTTTGTTATCTAAAAGAATAACTCAAAAATTTTCAGAAAATCGATGCGACATTCTTGTCAACGATTATTAGTAACAAAATTCAAAAGCAAATCCTCACATTGACACAATTCGCGTGAAACCATTTGTCGCATTTCTCGCAAGCGATCATGAATTTGTCTGCGTTGGCTGACTTGCATATACAGTACAGAATCTGAAAAAAATATTAAATTAGGAAGAATAATCGATGTCATAATTAGAATGAGCTTATTGTCTACTTTCAAAAACAAAAATAAAAACCTTGTCTTTTTTATCTAAGCGATCTATTTTTTTCGACCTATAAGAGCTTACAAGCTTAACTAGTATCCTGTCTACTTTGTCAATGCAAAGAATTTCTTTACGATTAGTTCACTCCATTGCATGAGGAGAATTGAGCTAGTTATTTTGTATCTCTAAACGACTTACCGGTTCAGGTTTCACATTTTCTGCTTCTGCTTCTGCTTCGTTGCTCGTTGTTGGATTCATCACGATCTCTTGTGTATCCATTGTTTCAATCGGTTCATTTTTCACTTCACCGAGTATCATCTAAAAGAAATTTTAAATTCAAAACATTAAATAAATGTCTCACCGTAATTAATTGTCCTTCTGGCTGGCTTGGAATTTCCTAAAATAAGATGAATATAGTTTTACGTATAAGCATACCAAAGTGGGAACATTTTCCATGATGTCAGTCCTTTACTTTAACTTGTAAAAGAATTTGAAACTATAACAAGGAGGTTTGAATAAAATGAAAAGGCCATTCAATTACAAAGAAGCTTTGTGTAAAGGAGCGTCGCGTACACACTCAACAGAAAATACGGTGAGACAATTATTTAGTGTGAAATGAAAGAATTACGGCAGGTATAGCATAGACAGCAAAGGAGTAATAGCTTGATGAATGCAGTGAAATTTTATCGTAAGTAGACTAATGCTCATAAATTCTCTTAAGAACCCTGGAACACAAAGTAGAAAGCTAAGTATGCCATCTCTTGTATGGCAATTCATGACCAAACACAAAGAGAATGACAAGCTTTTTGCCAACTGCTATCTATGTGCAAAAGAATGCACACCTCAGTTTACCCCAACTGCCACCACTTCTATGAGGAAACATTTAAAAGTAGTTTTTTTTTCTTTAATTATTGCAAACACTTAAATTAGAAGAAGCATTCTAAAGCGTGGAGATTGAAAATAAGCGTAGAATCGTTGAAGCAAGCGTGATTAAAAGAATCAACTCTGCTGATCCAAATGTAAAACAATTGCTAGTGCTGGAAGTAGTTTTCCATTTCTTTTGTTCATTTTTCGAAAGAACGATACGCTGCTAGCATTAGCATTAACTGATAAAACGCAATTTTTGGGGTAGGCTACTTTGCGCCAAATTTTTTGCGCAACAGGATCATTTGCGCAACTGGGTCATTTGAGCAACTGGGTCATTTGCGCAACTCGCCATAACTTTCTTCGAAGTCGGCCAATCTTTATGATTTGTGGTTTCATTTTGTTGTACTTATACTACTTATTGAGATCTACAAAATGAAACCAAAATCATAAAGATTGGTTCACTTAGAAGAAAGTTATGGCGAGTTGCGCAAACGACCCAGTTGCGCAAAAAAGTTTGACGCAAGGTAGCCTACCCCCAATTTTTTTGTTGCAGACGGTGCTGGAGCTAATTCATATGAATTTACCACGATAAAATTAACATCTTTAAAATATTTTGCCTTACTTTTCGAATATTTTACTTTGCACATTTAATCCACAATTTGGTGAAACGCTTTAAAGAGGCTTTATTATAAAAAAAATTCGAGCAGCAATTTATGTGTAATATGTAATGGTCCACTTTCCGCTTTTCAAAATGCATGAAGAACCTATAGATTAGAATAAAAAAATAAGAATGGCTTACAAATTAAAAAAAACTCGATCAAAAACTAGACCTAGATAACTAGAGAAAAACAAAAACTAACTACGAGTTTTTGTAGAACGGTTAATAATGAACTTTCGACTGTAGAACCAATGAAAAACGTAACTAAATATGTAACCAATGAAAAACGTAACTAAATATGTATGTACTTAAAACTTTACATTTTAAAAAGTTTTTTTTTTGGATACGGGCTTGAGTCCATCCCCTGATTGAGCTTAGCGCTGGGCTAAACGAAAAGTACTGGCCCTTTTAATTTAAATATTCGAAAAAATAATGACCAAAGACGACTTTCAATTAATTAAATTATTAAGTTAACGTTTAAAATTGAAACATTCCATTACAGCTGGCGGACTCCTGCCTCTTTTCTTTTCATTTCATCAAAACTTTACGAGTTTCATCGTCATTACTGCAAAAAAATCTTATCGAACAGCAATTACAAAAAGAATTTGCAGATTAATTGAAAAAGCTAATCATCAACAGCAACAATATAAACAGAACAAAAACAGCACAAAAGCTAATCACAACAGCAACAATATAAACAGCAACAGCAACAGCAACAGCAACAAAAAGCTAATCATCAACAGCAACATCAACAAAAAGCTAATCATCAACAGCAACAATAACAATTTTGCTTTGAAAGTCAAATGTAAAAGTTCTACTGTGAACTTTTTCACCAAAAATAAAAGGTTTTGTTGAAATGTTTATCTCAAAGGAAATTCTATTATCGATTCTCTATTTCATTTTCAATTTCATTCTGATTCCATCGACATTATTGACTCTCACCGCCTGAAAGCTATCACTCTTCCACTTTTTCACCAAAAATAAAAGGTTTTGTTGAAATGTTGTACTTCTTCATCCTTTGTCTTCAAATCAAAAAACATAGTAAAAGTTTATTCATTGTTACTGTGAGTGTGAAAAATGAGATCAAGAAATTGGTTAAAACATGCGAATTGTTGACTTAGCCGAATCTTGGTTTAAGATGTTTGAGAAGTCGCGCGTATTTCATCGGTTGATCTTCTTCTCCATCGAATGGCGATCGTCGAGACTAAAATTCGGATTTTTAGACAGATTTTTAGACAGATTTTTAAAAGATTTTCTCATCGATCAAGTTAGAGTGACTCTTTTGCACGGCTTTCAATCTCATTGCTTACAATTCGTAAAGGAATTACTTTGTATGTAAAGCGTTTCTAACCTTTCTGTCAATTTTCTAAAAACTACGTAACCTTGCCTATAGTTTTATTTAGTATATTTATTAGGTTGATGCAAAAGTCTTTTTCATTTTTTTCGTCTGCCGTTTCAAGCCAACAAATGCACCAATTAAACTACGGTTGATTTCATTAGAAAAACCAATTATTTTTCTGCAAAATAACATTAAAACGGGTTTAAAAATATTTTATGCCTGGATTTTCTTGAGAGTATGAAGTCGGGTAGTCAAAAAGGGCTAACTCGATGATGCGGTTTAGACACCTTAGCTAAAGAAAAACTATCTTCATAGTCAATAGATAAAAGATAGAGAAAAAAAGTTTGATATTTCGCCAAAATTTCAGAGAAATTCATTCAGCCAATTTTTCCGTAGAGTTTTTTATAGATTTTTACGAAAAAGGCGTTTTTCACTCTCGAATTTGCTTCAAAGTGAACCGAAATTCATTTAAAAAGATGCAAATTGAACAAAAAAACACTTTATATTTAGAGAAAAGCATAGGTTAATTGGTGAATTTGTTACTTTTTAACAGAAGTACGAAAAAAATGAAAAAGACTTTTGCATCAACCTAATATTTTTGATTATTTTAGGATTTGCTAATGATTTTAAAAATGCAAAAGTGGATAGATTGGATAAAAATTGGTGCTTTTCGGAATTTGACACATTTTAGAAAACGCTTATTTACTCGACAGTAATTAGGCACAGATGTGCTTTGTTTCGTTTTTACTTTCAATACTCTTTTTCTTTACCTTTGATGAAATGAAATCTTCATATTCAGGCTCGAGAAGTGGCCAGGATAACACGAAAACGCTCAAGAGTTGAAGAAATAATAGAGATAACCAGAGGCGGAAGGTCATCGTTTTAAAGAATCCTGAAATTTCTTTTGAAAGCATTCATTTCCAATATTATTATAGATTCAACCAAGATTTGGGTATTAATCAAAAACAGAAACATGATGCCAAAGCAAGCAAGATGATGCCAAAGCAAGCAAGATGATGCCAAAGCAAGCAAGATGATGCCAAAGATTAGCCAAGAGTAGAAAAATGGAGAAGTAGAGAGATTTTCAAATACAAAATCACGCAATAGAATACATTTGAGCAAATTAGAAATACAATTGGCTGTTAAAAATAATTTTTGGAGAAATTTAGAGGATTGGATTCTTGGATTTTGAAAACTAACCATTCAGCTGGGCTAAACGATTGAGAAAATAGCCCTAAAGCTTGTTTAATTCCGAAATTCTCTACAGAAAATGGGTTTGAAAAATTCTTGGTAATTAAGAAATTAAGAAATTTTAGCCTGATTCTTTAAAGTGTCCATTTTTCGACAAGAAGAGCCAACACCCATCAATTTTTCGAGAAGAAAATTTCCGTTTATAATTTCCTTTCGAATATTTGTTTTGCATTGAGATTAGCTATTTTTAGCTATTTTTGTTTAGCTATTTTTGGGGAATTTGCGTACAGAAAGGTGGAAAATACAAAATTTGGACAGATTTTCTTTAACACGTTGACGACAATGGCGTTTTTGCACAAACAATCGCATGGGACAACGTTGTTTTTTTTCGACAAAAAACGTCACCTGACACCAGGTGACAATGTCCCAGGCGAACGAATATTTTGCATCAGGTGACAATGTCGACAGCATCAGGTGACAATGTCGACAGCATCAGGTGACAATGTCGACAGCATCAGGTGACAATGTCGACAGCATCAGGTGACAATGTCGTCAACGTGTTAAAATATTTTGTGAAATCAGATAGAATTATGGTTTTTGTATAAATTTCTTTACGAAAAGAGTAATTTGACAAAATTGCATTGTTCTTGTGTGTGTGTGTGTGTGTTTTTCTTTCTTTGTCTATTTGATGTAATGAATTCGAAATGTCGACCGAACACGCAAAGAATTGAGAACAAATTGGACAACACATTCACGAAGAATGAAATAAGAAAAGGATTTTCTAGCAAAATAATAACAAAACTTCTAAAGGAAAAAAAAAACTAATTTTCTTTTCTTTTCTCTTTCGAGAAAACGATAAAATTTTATGGGACTCAAAGTGAAACAAAAGAAGATATGGAGGTAAAGTTTTTCACATTTTTTTTTCTTCTAGACTTCTTAAAGCAAAGTCGTTATTCTATACTTAAATACAATATTTGACGAACTGTTTTGCATGCATGCTCTTGGAGAATCTCAAGAATAAACTAAATAGAACTTTTAACAAAAGAAATAGGAACCGGATGGCACGTTTTAGGAAACAAGTTCTGTCTGCTAAACAAGTTCTGTTTGAGCTTAAACATTAATTTCTTGCTACATTCACCATTTAGCAAGCAGAACTTATTTCCTAAAACGTAAAATCCGATCCGCAGACGATGAGGATTAGAAAGTGCAAATGTAACGGCTCCAACTTTCGAAAACTAGCCTAGCCTCGGGAGCTGGTCAAAACACCACCACGGCAAAAATATCCCCTCCACGGTTAATTTTCCATGTGTTTCTTATTCTTATTGGATGCAGAATAAAATTATCTACATTTTATCTACATTTTGCATACTTTGGGATCACTTAAAACAAAAATGGTGTCGAGAAAAGCTCAAAGTTAACCTCTTTTTGCGCCCTTTTTCGTTTTTTTTTGGCATTTTCTCAGCCCAGATTTGTTCTAAACGGCTCCAAAAGATACAGCAGATAGCTAATTTTTTTGTTCTACATTCAATGAAAATAAGAAACACAAATAAACTTAACTACAAGCGAATTATTTTGGCCGGCGCTGTTTGAACCAGCTCCCTTAGCCTTGTCTCTAGTCTTTATCTCAATCACTTTACTTTTTGTATTTTTTTAGTATCTTATATGATTTTGGATATCTTGAATTTCTTTTGATATTCAAAATCTGATCAAAAGTAGATAAATTGGAGGCAATGTTACGACAGTTTATAATAGAAAATGCGTCACATTCACCATTTAGCTTGCGTCACATTCACCATTAGATTCTTTGAGAGGAAATTATTATACTTATGATTATGATTTATTATTATTGTTATTATTGTTAGAAAATTATTATTCTTATACTTTTCATATTGTGTTTTTTTTGTGTAGATTAGTATAAATAAAGATCCAGAAAAAAGATCCAGAAAAAATCCAGAAAGATCCAATAAATAGAGATCCAGAAAAAAAGTAAAAAAAGATTTTCAAACCCAAATCCTGTCAAGCCATAATGTGGCCATAGATTCGAATATCCATATACTCGAATAATACAAATCACCTCAACTGAATTAATCTATAAGGAAATTCATAAAACAATAGCGACTTTTTTTTTGTGTTTACTCAATGAACAAAAGAGATTCGACTGAGGATGACTGTGGTGAGAAAAGAGTGATTTCAAAGTGAAAATGAAAGAAGTGAGAAGCCCGAGTATTCTCAAACATTCTCACATTGCTTACTTCAAGTAAAGAAAGAAAAAGACGAGGAAATCTTATTTTCCTTCAAATTTTCTCCAACATCGCCATTGAAATGAAAAGAATTCCCTTGTCTTTTTGTTGAGTGACTTCATCGAAATCTTGATTCAACGGAATCTTTGCTTGTCTCTTTTTTCAAAGTATTCCCTTTCGCTTCGATGGATTTCAATTCAAGAAATTATTTGGTTCCTTTGAAAAGAACAAGTTGACAATGAAAAAAAAACACATTTTTTGATTTTAAGACTAATAGAAAAGACTAAAGTTTGAGAAAAAAAGATTAAAAAGTTGATAAAATGATAAAAAAGAGTTTTAAAATTGAAAACTCATCGGTGAATGATTTTGGTAAATGGTAAATGGTAAATGCTTAAATGGCAAATGCTTAAATGGCAAATGCTTAAATGGTAAATGCTTAAATGGTAAATGGTAAAGGGTAAATGGTAAATGGTTTTACAATGAAATGGTTTTGATTCTTTTAACTTAAAAATAACAAAAGATTGAGTGAAATGAAGAAACTGGTGAAGAAGAATGAGCTTTACAAACTTGTCGAGCATCTGCATTACTGTTTACAATAAGATTTAGCTGAAAAACGGAACACGAATTTCAGACGTGAAAACTCGCGAATAGTAAATTCTGTTTGTACAATATGGAATTGATTTTAGAAAAGAAAATGCCAAAGATCTAAAAAACTTACTTGCGAATGTGAATTCTAGAAAGAGAAATGAGATTTCCCCCCAATGGAATCATCGCTTCAAATTCTCCTCTCATCCTCAGATTCCCTTTTTTCACTCTCGGCTTTCACAAACTTTTTCTAACTAAAAAAAAAACATTCAGAAACCAATTAGGATCTCAAGAGAAATTTTTGACTCAAGATTGATGAGAAACTGATTTTTTTTGATGAAAAAAGCTGAGTTTTTCCTGGAACTTGAAAAAAAGTTGCCAGATGCTGAATGAAATTTTAAAATACTGTTTCTAGAGTAACAAATTCATGACTATTGTAATAGTTTTGAAAGCGAAGATTAATGAACATGGATATGCTTTAAAGCTTACACTTACATGAGTTAAATTAAATTTTGATTACCGTATTTTCTGTAATAGTAGTGCGCACTACTATTTTTCAACCCCCCTCCTGCCTGCACTACTATTACAACGCACACATTACAGACACAAGCCACACACACCACAGAGTGGCCCACAGACAAGGACAAATCAACAACCAGACAATTGACCCGACAAGACCCAACGCGCAAGGGCGCAAAAAAAAAGGAAAAAAAAAAAAAAGAGGAATAGGAGGGGGAATGGAATTCAAAGAAAAGCAAAAAAAAAAAAACCCAAAAAAAAAAAAAAAAGAAAGAGAAGAAAGAAGAAGAGAAGAAAGAAAAAAAAAGAAAAAAGAAGCGCGCAGACTGCACTACTATTACAGAAAATACGGTATCTTTTCTCCAGAAATGGTCTGCCCCGGCTCTAGGATCTGTAATATCAAGCCAAACCACAAAACAGGACCAGTCCTGGCTTACCAGCTTCTATCAAGCCCAGGGACCTTTATGGGTCAGGTCTGCAGTATAGTCAGGTCCAGGTCCATGCCTAGTATAGTCAGGTCCAGGTCCATGCCTAGTATAGTCAGGTCCAGGTCCATGCCTAGCTTCTGCCATGACCGTTGAAAGCCCAGTGAACCCAGCTCACCATGCCTAGTCTGGCTTTTAAGCCCTAGGATCCAGCACATCTAAGCTAGACATGAGACATTCCAAGCCGAACCTAATTCCACCTTCGTTTTCTCAGCCGTCTCTTGGCTGATTGGTCTGAAATTTTGTTTACAAATAGAAATTGGTATTCTCTGCTTGTAGAAAAAAATTTCAGAACAATCGACCAAGAGACGGCTGAGAAAATGAAGGTGAAATTTTCCCATGCAGAGAGCAGTCTAACTACTGGCGAGCTCGGGAATTTTTGTGAGTTGTGAGCCCGGGGGGAAAAAATTTTCTTTTAAAAGAACTATTCTCTTTTTAAGTGCAATACCGTAGCTCAGTTTTCAAATTGGTCTTTTATTTTACCCAAGTCCAAAAATGTGTTTTGTTTCACTTTTGATATGCTGAAATGACCTCCCGTTTTCTCTCGCTGATCACCCGATCAATCACCGTCTAAAGGGATTTCTTTTAAAAACATTGTATCATTTCCAAAATGTCGAATTAGGAAACCGGGCTCTTTCCAGGGGATCCAACCGATCATTAATCTCAACTTCATTTTCCTTTTTCCTCATGTGACCAATCCAATTCTTTTTTTCTTTTTTGTGGAATTTCTCTATTTCTCTCTAGAATCTCAATATTTTCCCATCTTCCCCGATCTTTATTTTATCCATTTTCTTTTATCTTTTCCCCATCTCTTTTGAAACCAAAAATTTCACCTTTTCCAAGTCAAAAAGTGTACGTTTTTTGGAGATTCTTTAATCCTTTTCTTTCCTTTATTTTGACCGTTTCTGGTCAACATTGATAAGTGATACTTTGATACGATTTTCCCCCTTTTTCCCCTCTTTTTTCCATTGATCATTGAGCTCAAATTTTATGCGATTATTGGCAAACATTGAATTGCAAAAAAAGCGATTTGCGGAAAAGAGCCACGCGAGCCAATTTTGTGCAAATACCCGAGGAAAATATTGAACTTGTGAAAGTTTTGATTAGCCGAAAATTCGATTCAAATCCCACGCGTGACCTCTCGGAATTGAATTTTTTGAACTATTTTCAAACAAATCTATAAATTTTTGGTAAAATATCGTGAGTTGTAGAGTTAACTTCCACTGGAGTAAGGATGTCAAGTGCGTTGTGGTGTAATGCTTAGCACAGATGACCGATAAGCGAAAGGCCGCGGGTTCGAGTCTCGCCGGCGTGCAAGTATTTGATCTGCCCTAGTTCGAACTGTAGCAGTGCGATTCTGCAAGAAAACTGCAAAGGTTGTTGTGCAAATCAACAGCTTTCAAATGAAAATTTTACCCGTGTTTTGTATTTCTTTTGTTGTTTTGTATAAGTTTTTTTCAAGCTATGCTATAGTTTTATCAATTTTAAACGCTTTTTTTTCCATTTTAGCTTTTCTATCACTTCTGACGATGGGAATTTGCATTTGCAGAGCTAAAAGAGTTATTCTACTTTGGTTCAAGGCTTGATTCGGGATTTCCGGGTCATTGACGTCAAAAATCCTTGAAAATTTTGGCAGAAATAAGTTGAAATGATTTTAAAAGTGCCGCTTTTAAAAGTTTAAAAGTTTTAAATTACTTTAAAAGTACCGTAAAAGTACGTAAAGTAAAGCCGATTTACAAAAGTATTCCACTGAATCGGTATTGAAAAGTTAAAGCTTTAGTTAGATACTTATAGTATCTAACTAATAGTACTTATAGTAATTATAGTACCTAACTAATAGTACTTATAGTACTTATAGTATCTAACTATACTTTAGTTAGACAATTAGATAATTATCAACCCTTGATATATCTTAAACATTTTAAAAATCAATTCTGTTTGTCTCACAATCTAAAAATCTAAAAACAATCTAAAAATAAGAAAAATCTAAAAATCTTGTACCCAACCCAACACTTGATTGCCTATCTTTGAATGCTTCCCTTTGCCTTGTGATTTCAAAGGTTAATCCCAGTGAGAAAAACTTCACCCATTGTTTCTTATCTTTTTCAAAGAACCCGAAGAGTTTTTTTTCTGAGAATAAAACGGAAATAATCTCTATCTTTCCAGGTGAATTCATTTTCTATATTTCACGCATCTTCACACCGACATCTACAGTAACCAGCCATATTATGGCCTTTTTGTAAGTTGTTTTTCGAAAAAGGCTTTATGGTTTTTGTTTGCGAAAAGTGCTCTCAAAAAAGACTAGGATAATCCCAGTTAGAAGGGGTTCTTCACAGCTAATTCGATTTCTAAAAGGCATCTATTTTGGTCTCCGAAATTCGGTTGCTTTCATGAAAACTGAAAGTTTGATTACAGTGCCTTTTTGGAAATGGATTGGTTAAGAAAAGCACTACCGTAATATCTCTAATAGTAGCGCTCTCCCCCGCCCATAATGACGGTCGGAGCGTCGCGTGGTCTAACTTTAGACGCATTTTTCTTGCCGCCCATTGCTATAGTGTACGCTTAAGTATCAAATGAAAGCTAAAATTCAGGGTTATTTTTTGATATGAAAGATGCATTTTTAGAAATTATGGGGGCTTAGAAAAAAATGATTGAGTAAAAAATTTTTGCGACTACGCAACTGTACAGGCGGGCTACTATTAGAGGTATTACAGTATTCATAAAGGCAATATCTCTTGTATTTAAACTGTTTAATATGTAGCAAGCTTTCCAGTTTAGATTAAACTCCCAAGCTCCCCAATTTTTCTTTAAAAGAGTAGAACATTTATTCATCTTATCCAATTGTGAAAGAAATATCGCTCTTGGGGAAATTTCAGGAGAAATCCGAGAAGAAAGAAAGCTAAAAGAATCAAAAACAACAACTGCTGTTTTTTTCTGAAAAGCAAAAGACCCCCGTGGTCTTGAGAAGAAAAAAAAAGGAAAAGAAGTTGTTGACAACGATCGACCATCCTTCCCGTCCTCCACTTTTCCCCTTCTCATTCCCATTCCATTTCGCCCACTATTTCTCCCAACGATTTCCCTGCACTTTTGCCCACCTTTTTTCTCTTTTGTGGACATTGCAAAAAGATCGAAACGATCACAAAATTCATTGTGGAAACCCTCAAAACACTCACTGCTTTTCTATTTTCCTCATTTCAATTGATCAACACCCCGCAACTCTTTCCCTTATTTATAACAGAAAGCGATTTGAATTTCTGATTTTAAACCAAGAGACGTTCAAGAAAGATCAAGAGACGAAGAGCTTTGAAACTGAAAAGTAGGTATTGAAAACTATTCTTTAATAGGGTTTGCAAGGATTCTTCTATAGCCAGAGGCGTTAGAGAGAAAAGAAATACGGTCGCATCATCTACCTGTCGCATCTCTTTACTCAGCTATCAGATTAAAAGAGCTCATAACTGAGGATTGTCTAGAAATGGGGGAGATGTCCAGGGTTTTTTAGGCTTGTTCTGAAGTTTTGTAGCTATTTGACTTTCCTGAAGAATAAGAGTCCAATTTCATATAGTAAATCTAAATGTAAATTCCATATAGTATAGTAAATCTAAATGTAAATTTGAGAAAGTTGAAAAAGAAATATAGTACCTGTTTCTCTTTAGTTAGCTTTTCACTATTAGATTCGTGTTTGTTCACTTTCAAGCTAAGCCATGAAAACTGAATTCATTGAATCTTTATTACTAAAAAAGAGCTTCTTTTCTAATCTCCTAAAGTCCAGAGCTAACTTTCTTTCTTTCTATTTCCCCATCTGAACTTTTTCCCGAGTTCTTTTTCTGCTAGAATGCAGAAGAAGAAGAAGAAAAGAAATGACCTTTTTGTTGATGTGCGCACACCCCGTGACAGTGCCCTTCTCCCCTCGCCTTCCATCAGAGGCCCTCCTCTTCCCATTTCCTTCTCCTCTTTCGACTACAACTCATTCCTGTTTTCGTTTTTCGTTATCTTGCATACTCTACCCGTTTTCTCTTTCTTTTCCACATTTTCCTATCTTGTTTACACGTTCGATTCGGGGGGTGGGGCCAAAGAAATCCTCCATAAATAGCACCCAATATGCGGTGAATAGTGTCTATGTGAAAAATTCTGATTTTGTGCTAAAACTAATTGCAGGATGTCCAACAACCGACCACCAACTGTAAGTGAAATTGTTGGGGCAATAGACGTACCGATTCGGTCGGTGATCCTTCCACCGAACAACGTACAAGACGCCAAACAAGACGGGGTACCATAAGAACAGAAAAAAAGGGTTTATACATAAAGATATCTAGATAATACTATTATCAATAGAGATATCTAGATAATACTAATATCAATACACATAAAGATATCTAGATACTTATGTAAAATGATATTTTCAGTATGCCGCCACCTACCACAATATCGACGTTCTTTGGAAACCTACGCTTGGCGGCCGGTGAGTGCTTAAAGTAGTGTAATGTGTCAGTAAATTTTAAGTACTATAATGTGCTTGAAATCCTTGCGTCAATAGTATACTGTAATGGTATAAAGTTTAATATACTGTTCTAGAAAAATTTCTCGCACCACTTCCACAGACAGCAACGATGAAGAGTTGCGACGTGTATCGATCACCGAATTGGGTCCTTCAAGGTTTGCAATACCCAAATACTAGTCTACAAAAGTCATTCAAAACAAGTAGTCACTTGAATTTGCGCCTCTCAAATAATCTATTTTCTAAAATCTGGCAACTTTCAAGAGCTAACGTAATCTTGGCTCGAATTTTATCCAATCAATCTATTCCGTATTCCGTATTCGCCGTGAATCCTCACAGAAATAAATACCTAAAATAGATAAAACTAGAGGATTACGGTAGTTTTCAAAAGTCGAAACGTTTTTTAGAAAACATAGAAGAGAAAAAAACTCTAATCATGCCGATTTCAGCCCTACTACCACAACCCCCACGATGATTCCAGATTATAGCGATTTCGCTACCGACAAGGGAATGGCTGTTGGCGGTGAGTAAACACAAAAAAAGTCCAATTGGTCGCAACAATTTCAGCTGAGGGGCCACGTGTGAGAAGGATGTCACTGAGTGAGATGATTTTCGGATCTCCGGGAAATCGACGCTTCACATGGAGCGAGAAGACGATGACCGAAGAAAATGTGGCCAACAAGAAGTCTTCGGTTACTGAAGTGAGTAATAAAGGAGTCTGATTGGATAAACGATAGCACAAGAATTGCGAACAAATAAATTAAGGCCAGTTTTTAGGATGCACGTTTCAAGGACATTATGCGGCACCAGAATCGAGTCAATGACGGTTGAGTAAACGGTTTTGTATCGATGAATAAGAAAATTTAGATGGCGGCTTCAGTCTATTCAAAACCTCCGACTACCGCACGAAAGAATGATCTACTCATTGAAATATTCTTCGTACACACAATTACATACAATCCCAATAATCTTCAATAATAGAAAAACCATTTGAGCGCAAAGTTTACAAAAATTTTTTCCTAACAAAGGTTGTTGCTTTCTATTTATTTTTGTCGAATCCAAATTTCGCCCATTCATCGTAGAATTAGCCAACTTCTTTACTGGTATTACAATTGTACATACTTAATATGGGTTCTTCCATGGAATCGATTTTATAAAACTTCGATGAAGATCGTCTAAAAACACAAGAGAAAATTACCGTTCGCCGACTTTCTACAATTGAAACCAACATTTATTGAAAAATAAACAAAAACAAGAACGATAACAACAAATAAATTAACAGTAACAACATGAATCATTTATAAACGCGTATTATGTAGAGTATTCGTCCATCTTTTGAGTCCTCGTATTTTTGTTAATCCTTGTTACTTCAGCGGGCGTCAAATTCTAAACTCATTAATATTTATCAAGTTATTCAGTCCCCTCTACTTACCTTTATAAAAGGCACAACACCAACACCACCCGCCGCCTCAGCTTCTGCTATAGTATATGGTACTTCTTTTAACCTTCGCAATTGTTGTTTATGCAACTAAAGTTGTATTATGGATTTATTAGAACAATGTTACCTTAGATTTTTGATGAAGACTCAGAGTTGGTGCATCAGCAAAATGTCGCACGCATTCTATGCAGTAAAATTGTCCTTCTCCGGGCAGATCGAGATCGACCTAAAATTTAAATGACGGGATGGATAGTCCGAATAAAACCCTACCTCCTGATTTAATAATTTGGTCGCTTTTTTTGGTTTAAGATCGTCGTGAATCTCGTCGATATCCTTTCCCTTTCTTTTTCTTCCTTTTCTAGATTGTGTGTGCTTCGGAGGCATCTAACACTAAAAAAAATTTTAAATCCGTTTCCAGGCTCCAAGTAATCGGTCAATTCTATAATCATGAACTGTGAAAATGCTCTACAAAGTTTTGAAATTTTTATTTTTATATATCAGCAATCAAAAATACATTAAAACAGCAGAAAAGTTAAATGACTTCTCTACAAATATGAAAGATCAATCATAAATTTACAAAAATTACAACAAAAACTCACACAATTGTTTGTGCTTTTGAAGTAACAACACTTTCGGCAGTCGACCATACGAATACCATAACAAAATAAAAGAGACGATGAGTATCACACAATGATAGAAACAAAAGGCGGCCACCAGCAAAAACTGTTATAAAAAGCGGAGAAAAACAGTATGAAAGAATTATTAACATCCACAAAATCTAATATTTACAACCCATCAAAGAATTTAGGATTCACAGTGAACATGAATAGGTAAAATAAGAGATCATGTAACCAGCTTGTTATTCACCTAGACGTAATGTTGGTATTTTTGCTTTTGACCACTTTATGCCCCATCATTCATTCGGCTGCGTTGTTCTAAAGTTAGAAGATAAATGTTTGTTCAAAACTCCTTTTACGTCAAAATTTTAATTCCTATATAAAACGTGCTAGTTAGGAAGCAAAACATGCAACTCACAGGATCGCACCTTGACGTCGGCCTCCTTTACGAGGGATGGTAGGTTTGGCTGACTGCTAGAGGTGACACCAACTGTTCGTGATTCTCCAAGACCCGCCATGTGCCCACATACTTGTAGTGAAGCCTAAATTTTAAACATTTGATATTGGTGTTTGCTTTAAGGGTATCTGGCTAGCTTAAGGGTTATATTAAAGGTTATTCATATTACCTGATTCCACGCTTGCTCATCAAAGAATTGTTGCTTGATCTTGAAGAATATTTTTGCGGTTAATAACGCATCTGAGCCGGCTTGATGCCTAGCCCCAATTCTTTTGACATCCAATTGATCAGCGACCTTAAAATTTTTTGAATAAACAAATGCACAAATTTTTACTTCTTGAAGTCCTCCTTTCAGTTTCGCGTTTTGACAAGCGGGCAACCTCAGCAACAATTTAATGTCATAGCATGAGGGGAAGAGGATTCGATGGAACCGAAAGAATTCTATTTCCTGAAAATACCAGACTTTTTATATCATAGTTCAAAAAACCTCTTTTGGAAGTTCTGTATTTATAATCGATCGCATAAGATAGCCGAAATCATAGCCGCTCGAAAATGTCACCCAGGTTATGCTTGGATCGACAATAAGTCCAGAGGTCGTGAGCAATTCCCCAAAATCTTCCATATTGATACCATCTGTCTAAACGAAAATCTATACGTGAAAGATTCAAAAATAATTTAACAAACCCTTAAACGATTGAAATCAATCCCCGCTGTTCTCAACATTTCAACACTGTCGACACTGTACATATCATCGTCTAGGCTGAACTAAAACAAATTTGTTGGAACAATCAAGAATAAAGTCAACCTGAAAATTGAATTGCCAAACATCACCACCAGGTGGCAAGTCTCCCTTCTCGTTGACAAGAGCGAATCCAACCTAAAAAATTTTGTCACTTTGCTAGATCAAAATTTTCTATTAATCATCCTGGTAAAAACAAAATTGACCCTAGTTTCAATGGGGTAACCCCCACGCATTTTTGGCGTGTACTGGGCTTTGGCAATACAACTTTTCTTTTGATACCCTTAAAAGTCATAGTACTACAAACTCTACTGGTAGGTTTTAGTAATAACGACAAATGCATTGTGAAATGTACGTACGCGTGACTCAGATGACATCCAAACAGACCTGGATCAGTTTGAGCATGTTTACGTTGCAAGAGACTTGTTGATAATTGAAATCTTCCTTGGATCGGAATTGCCCCATCGGAGTCGCTACAACGCCAGGAAATTCGGTGTCCATTGCAATATAGGGATATGTTTTCATCAACGCCCGAATCTAAAGCAAAAGCTTTTTGTTTTATAGCAATGAGATTTATGTCGTACTCGAGTAACTCAAGACTAAGACAGACTAGGACACTACAAATACAAATACAAATTGCAAGCCATTGCAGGCGATAATAAACAACTATGATTTACAATTAGTCAGTGCCATATTTTAATCAACGAGTCACTAACAACTTTTAACGCTTCACTTGCGCAATCTGATTGCTCCAGCAGTTCTTTATGTTACAACCTAGTACACGAAACTTTGATGAATTCATAGATTGTAACAAGAACAAAAAAAACCAACCCGCGCAAATTCCTCGTCAAGGTTTTGTCTCCAACAATCGTGTATCACAACTTCGTTAGACATTCTCCAAGCGATTGCTCCTGAAACATACAAACGTTATTGTGATAAAAACAAATGCCAAAAGCCAACTGAAAATAAAAGAACAATAAAAGAACAAAAATAACAAAAATAAAAGAACAGTAATGTCTGGAACCTGCTTAAAGCTCAAAGGGACAACAACCTAAAAATAAAAGAAACTCTAGTTTTCACGTCTCAAGAACTCAAAAAACATCGTAATATGGTCAATCTAATTTGATAACCATAAATAAAGCTACAGGGTTTCGAAGGAAAAGAAAAGCATTAACATTTTGTGTCTTTTGCACACAATGTGAAAACGCTGTGGTGTTTTCCTTTCGTCTGCAATGTCCGTTCGTTAGCAGTAAACCCTCGTACTTGCAAATTTGGAATTTTCGTAGGGTGCGAAAATTTGGTGCATTTTTTAATTTCTATGAAAAAAGATATTCAGTTAAATGTATGATTTCGGGAAATGAACATTTTCAAGTTCACCGATTCTAGTTTTTGAGGTCTTGAATTTCTTGAATTAATGAAAAACCATTGATACACTTTCTGGTGAAATGGCAAAAGAAACTTCGATTGATCGATCAGATTTAGTGTAAAATAGAAACAGGGTTACGGTAGAAAATGCACAACATAAAGAATTGGCTTTGATTTGTAATTTCTATTTGGCACTAAATTGGTCGTTAAGCAAAGCTACAGGTAACTCGGGGGTGGGACAAATGCGACCTTTTTTTTGCGCACCTGGACATTTGCGCACTTTTTTTTTGCTGGAAAAGGCCTTAGGCAAGGCCGTAGAGCTTCGAAAATGTTTTCATCTAAGGGAATCGTATGCGTAGATTCCGAATTTCGACAAATCAGACCTCGCTGACACGTCAAATTTGGGCTAAAAGGCACAAACTGCGGAAAAGCGTTAAGTTGCGTATCCTAGTTGGTGGCAAACATTTTCACACTAAATTGATGAAATTCTATTTAAAACGCTAAAATTAACGCAAAATGATATAAGTTTAAAGGTTTAAGTTTAAGGGTTTAACAAAAGGTTAAACATTTGCCTCAAGAATTTCATTTTTAGTTACAAAGCCTATGGTAAATGTAAAATTTCACGGAATTTGCGTTAATCTATTGATCTTTAGACCATTAATCAGATCATGAGCAATATTTTCGTTCTTCTTTTAAACTCTGAAAGCGATAGGTGCAAAAGATTGATAAAAGTAGCAGAATGGTCAAAAAGTTTAAAAAAAAGTTAAAATTTTACCCCACCGGATCTTAAAATTTTACCCCCCTGGATCTTAAAATTTTACCCCCCCGGATATTGAAAGACCCCCGGATACTCCACAAGTACCGGCTTTTTCCAGCAAAAAAAGAGATGCGCAAAAAAAGGTCGCATTTGTCCCACCCCCCGGTAGCTCGATAAAATAAATGCACCTTTGTTCATTTGTTTTATCAATTCTAATTGAAATCCGTTTGATTTCGTAGAATGGATCGATCATTACAGTAGAATCAAATCTGTAGAATGTAGAATCAAATCTGAAAATAGACGTCCGGCCGTTTTTTTCTCTAATAATTACGATCTCTCTGCTTGTGTCTCTCGAGTTCGTACCAGTTTGTCCAGTGAAAAATCGCAAACACAAAAAAATAAGTTTCGTCATCTACACAAGCCCTCGTTTCTCTGATCGCGAAAAAGAACACTGTGGTCATTCAGCACGAATCGCCAATCTCTTTCTCTCATTTTCTCTGCTGGATGGACGATCGTGTTGACCGGCTCGTCTTCTGTCGATGTCTCTTTTTCTCCCTTTCTCTATTTTCTTTTTTCTCTCCGATGGTGATGGTGTGTTTGTGGAGTGGACGCGAGGGGGTTCTCGTTGTTTGTCCATCCACCCTTCTCTACCTATCCTCCCCTTCGTCCACACCTAGTCTTTCTCTTCCTTTCACACAACCCATAGTCCGGCCATTTAATCAATTTATATAATTCAAAAATGTTTTCCTTTCCTTTCTCTGTCAGTACCTGTAAGCTTTTATTTTACAAACTTCTAGATAAACAATTCTCCATTTTGTATAAGATCTAGCTTTCGAAAAGTACGAACATCACAGTAAAGTGGTAAGTAATGCATATGAACAGTATACACCAGTACAACTTTTCCTACAATATTTTATTCGTTTCACTCTGAGCATTACGTTTTACAACAGGCACTCTCTTTAGGGTTTTATTGGATACAACCAAATGGCTACATCTTTTCTCAAAATAGAGATCTTTTCTGAGTCGTTTATCTTTTTGTGTAATGAGCCCCATTCATAATTGCTGGTTACCGCAGAAATATTCACAAAAACTAAACTACAAGGGTTTATATCGACCATTTTTGTTTAAAATTTTAAACTGTGCTTTGTGTTCTTTTTGTTTAACAGAATCAAATCTTTATAGATCTTTGTAAGATCCAAAAACTGAGTTTTTTTTAAATTTCTTTATCAAAAGACTTTACATTGAGAACGCTTTGCTCTTTTCTTTATTTATAGATTAGTCGCAAATTATCGAGGATTTATTCAAAAACCGGTGACGTGTGGAATGAATGGAAAAAGGGGAGAGATTTTGACGGCATTTCGGTGAGAAAAGGGAGAGGGTAAGGGAAGCTTTTCATTCCTTTTTACCCATCTCTTCCATCTCGAAGTGTCCCCTCTTCTCAATGCAGAAAGAAAGTTGCTTTTACAAATTTCTGAGAAAAATTGGAAACTTGGCTATTTCTTAGACGATCTTCGCTTGAAATTTCTTTTTCAATACCATTCCTCTATTCGCCTTGTGAATTTTTCATAGACTCAAAGCTTTTGATTGATTTTCTGATTTCTGATTCGACAAAACATTGCTAGACCAACTGGTTACTGGTTTTACATGTTTTTAGATAACAAAAAACTTTTGAGTTTAGGCTCGAGCCTTGAGCTCGAACCTTTAAAGTGTTACTCATTCAAAATCAGTTATCGGACACGGACGCCCTTTTTTCCATTGGCAACCTAACTTTGAACTCAAATATCTTGGTATTCGGGGTGTCCAATTTAAATAATCTTGATATCATTGGATGCGCCAAGTCTTTCTCTGTCGATTGGTACAAAAACTATTTAAATTGAACAGTCTAACACCAAGAAATTTGATCTTAAAGTTGGGTTGCCAACGGCGAAGGGGCGAGGCAAGTATTACATGTCCCACAATCTTCCAGTTCTGTAGACTAGGACAAAAATTCTCAGAGATTCAGAGCTTACAGACTTGACCTAGCATAGTATTCAGAAGCAGAACCTTACCTGGCCTGAGAAATTGGCGTTCGAAACAACTCCACTGAACACTTCTACAGTAGTACAGATTTTACACTTGTTCTCACTTTCTGCGGTGTTAAATTCAAACGGAAATGAACGAGAAGCAAATGGGAAAAGATGTCGACACATCACTTTGACATTTTTCGACAGACATTCTTCTTCTCAAAAACGAAAAGCCCCTTCATCCCCCCTTCACTCGACGAATTCTTTTGCTCAAAAAAGGGAATGGCGGGTGGTGGGAGAATCGATCGGGTCCTCCCTCGGCTGCTCGTTGTCACTTCTTTTTCCCCTCAAGGCACGTGTTCACCCCACCTTGGGCCATAGAGAAAAAAAAAATCGAGAAAGGGGTCCTCTCCACCATCCATCCCTATCCCTCTTTCTCAAAAAATAAGAGAAAATATTCGAGAGAGAATCACGCAAAAACCCCCTGGGCCGAAATGTCTTCTGTCTGTGCCCTCTTCTCTCATCCACATTTTCCAAATTTCCTTTTCTCTCTCCTCACTTTTCGAGATGATTTCAATGCTCTTTCCCTTCTTCGACAGTCGTTGCTCTTTTTCAACTTTTGTCTCTCAAATTTCGAGTCTCATTCTTTGAACTTTTATCTTAGAAAAAGATTTTTGATTCAATTCACTAACTGTTTTTCTCTTTTCCTTTGTAAGTTTTCTTTTACGTCGTACCTTTTCTATCCGAAAGAACTCATCACGCAGATTTGATCCCTATAATCCTATTTATTTACAATCCAAATTTGGAATAACACTTCGAAAATCTGTTTCCATGCTAACAGGTATTTTCTTTGAGTGATTCGTTGCATTTTTCAGCATTTTGAATTCTTTCAAACAATCTTTTGTTATAATGAATTTCAGCAAAGGTCAGTCTAGGCCTTTTCGGTTGGTCTAGGCCTTTTCGGTCGGTCTAGTCGGCCTAGCACCAGCTCTAGAACGCATTTTTGGGTTTTTCATTGGGAACTCATTTTCTGGATCATTTTTGGGTATTAGAGCATGGGTTAGACCACTTACTAGGCCAAACTATCACCTTTTAGGCCAGTACCAGTTTGAAAAAGCTAGACCAACTAGCCCGGTCTAGTACAACTAGTTTACAACTTGCTCCTTTTTCTTCTTACATTTCCCGACCTTGATAACTTTTCTCCTACTCTCTTCACTTCTTTTCTTCTTTTACAATCTTTTCCCTTAATCAATTTTTTTCAACTCATTTTTCGTTTCCGCAACCATTCCTTTCTCAACTTTATTTTCAGATCCAACTTTCTATTTACACAAATATTATTTCTAATCATTGATCTACTCTGAGATCTACTCTGAGACAATAAACTTAAGAAAATCTTTTAATTTCTCACTGATTTTTGATCATCCCAAAAAGATAATCAATAATGAACTAGCTAAGTCAGTTCTTTTTTTCATTTCTCGACAAAATCTCGTAAAAACAGTTTTTCCCTTTTCTTGATACGTTTTCTAACCACTATCAATTTTTTAAAAAGTTTGCTAGACCAACACATATACTCTCTCGCTTATAATAAGTAGAATTTCTCATTTGACGTCATCAAACCAATTCAAATTCATATCAAAACAGCACTTATATCAATTATCTCACGCTCAAAGCTTCCAAAAATTAGTAAGAAAAGGATTCACTCAGAATTTTTTTTTCTGTTTACATTTAAACTTGTTGTACCTCAGCAGGAAGAAGGGAACATTAACTTTTAAAAGTAAAACCTCCGACAACACTTTTCGATCTTTTTGTTAGAGTTGAGCGTGTCTGTAAATTTTTCTGATGATTAAATAAAATTTTTGCGATTTTTTTTCAAAAAATGAGTGTTGAGAGGGATGAATAGAGATGCGGAGGAGAGGGGGAGGAGGTGGAAAGCACAAAGTGGAAATCGATTCACTCCCCTCTACCCATCCCCCTCACCCCTTCACTCAGTCAATCCTTTCCTTTTCTGTCTTCCCCTTCATCCCTCTTTCCTCTTTCCTCCTTTTCTCATTTACCGTCAATTTTTGGAGATTTTCCAACCGATCTCTTTCCGCCAAAACATTTCCTCTTAAATCTTTTCCTTTCATTTCTTTTTCTTTTGCTGAATGTCATAAAATAAAGTGAATGCTCTATTCGATTGGCAATTGCTTTGATTGCTTTGATTGCTTTGATTTTTGTAACTTGCTTTCAAATACTGATACAAAATACTGAGCCTAATAAAGAAATTTGTATTTGAGTATCAGTTTCAATGCATAAAAGTTTAGGAAAAGCTTAAAAATTGTCAGTGATCATTAAATGTCAGTGATCACGCAATACCAACATTCCCTTATGCTCAAATGATAAAGTTTCAACGTGGTCTTCTTCATAAAGTTGTAAATCTTACAACAATTTTTGTGTACATCTATGATTAGTGCCAGAAAATGAATTGAAGATTCGAGATTTTAGCTACCGTAAATACTGTAATAGTACTCCACCCCCATAATGACGGTGCGGAGTGTTGCGCAGTCTAGCTTTGAACGAGTTTTTCTCGACACTGGTTTATGCTACAATGTGCGCTTAGGTATCAAAAAATAGCCCTGAATTTCAGCTTTTTTTTGATACCAAAGACGCATTTTTTTGAAAGTACGGGTGCTTTGAAAAAAATGAAATACTAAAAAACTTTTGCGACTACGCGACTGTACGAGGGGGGTCGGGTACTATTACAGTATTTACGGTATTTATTTACTGTAGCTTACTTCTATTGTAATTATTATAGATATTTTAAGCCCCTTCTGACTTCTTTAACGATTCTTCTTTAGCTTTAAAAAATCAATCCGGCTTTTTTTCTAATCTAACTTGTTTTATTCTTCTAACGATTTTTTAGCTTTTTAGCTATTCTTCTTTTCTTAAACTTCTGTACTTTTTACAACAATATGCTCAAAATCCTTTCTTACAAACCCTTTCCTTATTTGGATTTTAAATCATTTAAGCATCGTAAAAATTTCAAATTAAGTTCTCTTCATTTCCAAAAAAAAGGAAGTCTTTTTCTTTCTTCTCCTTTTTTTTCTTTTTTTCTCTTTTCTCTCATTCTTTTTCTTTAAGAAATCTCTCTTCCAATACGGGTTTTTCTGTCTTTTTCTCATCTTACATCCTTGTATTTGCTTTTATCCTTTCTATGTCATTTTCTTGCATTTTTCCATTCTAAATTTATTTGTTTTATTCAAACAATGTATTTCTTCAACGAAATCTTTTTCAGTTGCTGTGACAAATGCCAAAAACTTGATGAAAACAGCGAAAAGAAAAGCGATGAGAGAACCCACATCAATGATATTCTCACTGCTGTATTTACTCGCGCAATTTGTGATTCTCGTCGATGCACAGAATAATTTCCATCCGGATTGCGCCGATCCACACAACAAGGCTTGTTTTTTTTTATTTTAAAGATTTCAAACCATTGAATCCCTTTTCTAAAGCGTAGCACCTTTTGAAAACTATAGCAATCTCAAATCAACCTACCGTAAATACTGTAATAGTACCGCACCCCCCTCGTACAGTCGCGTAGTCGCAAAAGTTTTTTAGTATTTCATTTTTTTTCAAAGCGCCCGTACTTTCAAAAAATGCGTCTTTGGTATCAAAAAATAGCTGAAATTCAGGGCTATTTTTGATACCTAAGGGCGCATTGTAGCATAAGCCAGTGTCGAGAAAAACTCGTTCAAAGCTAGACTACGCAACACTCCGCACCGTCATTATGGGGGTGGGGTACTATTACAGTATTTACGGTAGGTTATGTAGATTCATAAAAGGTTTCAAGGCTATAAAGGCAATATATTGGCCAGATTACGGTTAGGCCAGCTCGTTGACACGCTTTAGAAAAAGCAAAAGCAAAAAAACGCAATACTTTTGTACAAAGATTAGAATTGTTAAAGTTGATGAATATGAATTAACCAATTTTCAGGAGATCTCTTGCTCGGTGCATGTTGGTGAGTATTCAAAACGATTTGGTGAAACTTTTTATCAAAAAAAGAATTTCCTTGTATATATTAAATTTAGTGAGTTGTGAAGAGGAGTTATTACTACCGGTGAATGATGGAGATGAACCACCAGAAGCACACGACGTAAGAGTGGAACCATTTGCGAGAGCGACGAAGCACAAACATCAATTACATGTCGACATTTCATGGCAAATGCCACCAAGCAGTGAGTTTTCTTTTTCTTAAACATTATGTTTTTGTTTTATCGAATCATAGAATTTCATTAAGTTCATTATTATATCATTTTAGATAATTCTTTCCGAATTCGAGCCTTTGAATTGGAAGTTGAAAGTGGTGATGGAGGGGAAAATCGATGTTTTCTCTTTAATGTCTCGAATTTTGGATGGACTGAGGATTCGGCATCGGTAAGTGATGATCAACTGGCAATTTGGGGAGTGGGACAAGTGCGACCTTTTTTTTGCGCACCCGGACATTTGCGCACCTTTTTTTCCGCACCTTGCCCATTAGCGCACCTTTTTTCGCGTTTTAAAAAAGCTCTAAAAAGCTAATGTTAACCAATTTCTATTCCAAAAGTTGTTTTTCTAGGTAATTTTAGGGCGTAGAATCGAAATTTTGACATATCAGAGCTTGTGGAAACAAACGGACGGAGTTATACAAAGAGAAAAATCGACAATTTTCTGTAATTTGATCTAGCCGTTTTGTCTTTCAAATTGGTTCCACACGCTCTGTTATGTCAAAATCTGAATTCGACACCCTAAAATTACCTAGAAAAACAACTTTGGAATAGAAATTGGTAAATATTAGCTTTTAGAGCTTTTTTAAAACGCGAAAAAGGTGCGCTAAGGGCTTGGAAAGGTAATTGGTGCGGAAAAAGGTCGTATTTGTCCCACTCCCGGCAATTTGTGTTTGTTTAACAAACATTTAACATTAACAAACACATTTAAACGATCAATCTTCCACTATTTTAGCCTCGATTCCATTTTTCATCTGAAAGCCTTTTCGAATTTTCTCACGTTTACTCGATCCATCTTCGATCTCTTCCAATGAGTAAAAATAAGAAATCTCAAGTATGTTTTTTTTCATTTGAATTCAAACTTTCAAATTATTTACAAAATCTCAACAAATTCTAGGTCTCTCGCAATGCAACAATGCCCTCAAATCCAGATTTGGAGCAAGATGATCGGACAAATATTACAGCTTGGTGCAAAAAGCATTGTGAGTATTTTCTAAAACGTGTAAACCTTTGAAATTTACTGTAATCTGTAACCTTTTTGATCCAATCTATCTCCTTTTCAGCTGACCCACAAGCATCAAAATGGACAGCCGCTTTTCGGAGAATATTTCTGCACTCACTTGCAAGAACAATCCAGGTAAATTGAAAATTGCTTGAGAAAAAGTTAAACCTACAAATAATGATTTCATACATAAAAAGTTTCAGGTGGAATTCGTTGGCGCACCTCAACAATATTGCTTCGAAGCGTATGAAGTGAGATTGAAAGATGAATCGGGAATGGAGCTGGCACACAGTCATGTAAGTAAGAGGAGTAAAGAACAAAAGCTAGAGCTGAACAAAAGGAAAGAGAAATTAGAACTTTCAATCGTTATTTGTTAAATTTTCAGATCGTTGAGGCAAAGGATATGAAAAACGAGACAATCGGCGGGAAAGTAATGTTTTTTGGAGAGTACAACTTCACTGGATTAGAGGTTTGTAAATCGTTGAAGATAGGGCTAGGGCAATGATCAAAATTGGTTAGAGTTCTGAGAATGGTATGAAACGGAAGACGGTTTTGAAAAAGTTTTTGGCTTTTCATTAAAGTATTTGTGAATCTAGAATTGAGGCATTTGTGGGGAGGAGATCTAGTAGATCTGGATCAAGTATTGGTTTGACCGGAAAGTCTTGTTGTAAAGAAATATTCTTTGCGTGCTTGGTACTCTTCACTCAAGACACGTTATTTCTTGTTTCGAGATATCTGATCTCACTTGAACTAAAAACACTTTATTCAATCGCCGACTGACTCGGAATCTTTGGGCTCTCACTTGAGCAATTTTCACACAAGATCGACAATTGAATTAAAAGCGACGATAAAAAACAGAAACAATTTCGTCCTAATTATGACACAACTTTCACACGATGAGAGGAAAACAGAAAGAAAAATGAAAGATAACTTTTAGTGGCTATTCGCCACACTTGTCCGCCTTTTTGAAATTTTCTTTTATAAAAGAATAATTGAATAAAAAGAATAGCAAAGATTAAAAGAATAACAATGTGTGATTTGCTTTAAATAAAAAAGATTAACTATTTCATTTAACTCATTTTTGAGGCAAACTTGAGTCCGCTTTGAAGCAAATCCGAACGGGAATTCTTGTTTTTCCTAAAATTCTTACAATGGGCATAGAATGAAAAAGGCTTTGGTGATACGAAAATTTGGCTATTTTCATAACTTCTCATTCTCTATCTTTTATCCTTTGAAACCAAAATAGGCTTCTGTGACAAAAAAGTGCTCAAATCGGAACTTTAGTTTCATCGTTTTTGACTGCTTGACTTCACATCTTTAAAAAGTGAACTAACTAAGCTTTTCAGAATCTCTTAAAGCGCAATTTGTAAATAAATAATAGGACTTTCTGACAAAACAAATCATAGATTGATTGGTTCATTATTTATTTCGAAAAGTAACCTTTAAAAAAGCGGACAAGACTTTCCGGCCAACCTGATAGCACTAGGCATAAAAAATGTTATAGAGTTCAAGTAAGATCCATGAAACAGCTTGGGTTTAAAATCGAAACATCGTAGCTATAGTTTTTCTTTTCAAATAAACGTTTCTTATGTTTAGGTTGAGACGGACTATATTCCATCAGTGATTCCCGTCGAAAGATCGTCGGATAGACGCTGCTTGTGCCCAACGCAGGTTAGAAAACACAAATCTGTTTTCAATTTGTAAATGAATCTAGTAGGGAAATGAATGGCAATGAACAATAGAGCTATTTTAGAATGAAAATCCGTACGACAATCAAATTGTGTGCAGTTGTATTGCAGCTGATTGGAAAAAAGTTCGCTTGGCCAGTGAGTTTAAAAGAAACGAGTGATCTAAACGATCTAAACATTTAGGAATCGACAAATTACCCAGTTCACCTTGTCCTGAATGCGTCAAAAATGGAACACTTGACAATAAACCACCGAAAAGTGATCACAAGTAAGATAAAATAGCAAATGAAGAGTACTATTCAAATTTCAGGACTCTTTCTGTATTGATTGTTGTGGCTGTACTGGCATTGATCCTTCTTGTTCTTGTTTATTATCTTTTCGTCTTTTACAGGTACTTTTAGATCTACAAACTAAGCAATAATGTTTTAAACAATAATGTTTTAAAACCTGTCAATTTTAAAACTACCGTCTTACTTTTAGAAGACAACGAAGACGTGGAAAAGCTCTGCGATTTCATTTCAAAAACGTTGACAACAATGTTATTGGAACCGCTGAACCAAATCAACCGCTTATCTATAATTGTAAGTCTTGTCTTCGAATAAGAAATTTTAAAATATAAATTCCCAGCTTGTCTCTCTGTGTTGATCGTTTATTCACATGATTGTGCTTTTCACGAAGCAGCAATCCATGCTTTTGCTGAAGTACTTCGAGATACTTTTGGACTTCAAGTACATGTAAGTGACTGGGGAAGAAGAAGGCCCCTCGCGAAAAAGAGGGGTGGGGGGAGCGGAGGAGGGGAAAGAGCATTTGTCAGAAGAAGAGCATTTGTCAGCTCTAGAAGAGCATTTGTCATTCCAAATTACTTTAAAATTCTTTACAGATCGATCAATGGGATCAAGAAGCGATCGAAGAGAATGTCAACACTTATATAAACTCGAGTATTGTCAAAGCTGATAAGGTAAATCATATAAATATAAAAAGAAATACAAAATTTTCTAGGTGATAATCGTGAATTCGATTGGCGCGTATATGCGAACAAAAGCAAGACACCAAAAAATGGAACCTCTTGAAAGGATTCCCCAAGGACCGCTTGATCGACTATTTGATCTGCAAATTGATTTAGCGTTACAGTAAGCTAATGTTTCAAAAATCTTAATGTTTCCTATTCTTTAGACATGCTCGAGTGATATCCGTTCGTTTCCCGTACACTCAATCATCATGTACACTGTATGCATTATCACCGCTGCTACAGTACACAATTCCCGATAATCTTGGTACGTCTAGAAATCGATCAAATTAGAATACTGTAGATAATAGATCATTTCGTTTATCCATGATTTCTATTTGACACTAGCTTGGCCGATAACCTATCATAGAAATCTATCATAGAAAGAAACCAATTCATTTAGGCCTCTTGGTTTCATCGTTGACCGAATGCACTCTAAGATCGGATCCGCGTCTTTCCGGTTTTGATCCAAATCTCTCAAAATTGAACGCAGCTGTGTCACGAATGAATCACTATCAAGAAAGTGATCCATCATGGTAAATAAATAACTATAATATGGTATAATGAAAGCTTCAGGTTCGAGAAAAGTCATCATCGGATTCAGCCATATTCGATTACGATGGAAATGAATCGATTCAATGATTCGGGTCTTGGAGATACATTTAACAGTGAAAGAAATAAAGCCCAAATCAATGGAATGAGTATAGAAGAAGTGGCGAAAGAAACGGAAACGACGTCACTTCTCAGCGAGCAACAAGCGAATGTTCATGAGGTTTGGAAAGGAAAATGAAAAACACAAGAGTATATTTAGGTAATACCGGAGGAGCCATCTGGTTGCTCAACGCCTCGACACGAGATATCGGATTCAGCCTATTTATCGGGAAGAATCGATTCAGTGATACCGACAGCGTGTACATCGGATGCAGATAATCGATCATCGGGATCGGATCGACCTGACGATCCAATCATTTCATTGGGTGAGTTTAACTAATCTTACTATTAGTATGAAAGTGAGTTTTCACTTGGATTGGATAATCCTCAAGCTTTTGAAACTAGCCTAAGAATTTATTGCAGAGAATTCTTCAAAAAAGACGGTGCTTCAAAATGTTCCTTTATCGATGAATGGAGAGAGAATAGAAAACATCGAAGCAGGGAAGAAATTGAGGGAAATCGGCGGGAAAGATCCAGGAGGAGACTCGGGAATGATCACATCGGAATTTCATCCAACAATTCTTCAATGATCTGACTCTTTCACTCATTTCCTCACGTCGCTGTGCGACCTTTTTTCCCCTCAATCTCTTTGAACGATTCTGCCAAAATCTACTCAAATCAAATGTTGATAATCTAGTCTTTAAAAAATGTCGATAATCTAACTACAGTACCCTATTGTTCTAAATTTATTCACAGAAATCTATCTCATTCTATTCTTTTTTTTGTTTTTATTTGCTTAAATCAGGATTCCATTTAAACCAAGCTCGTCTTTCTACAATGAACCCTCGAATTTCGGAAATTTTTTTCAATATAGTGAGTTTTCTGTAACGTGTCAATTTTTGAAAGCTACCGTGACCCTACTTTTAACCAGCTTCTAAAGCTCTAAAACGATAAGAGATAAGAGAACTGGAGGTAAGATCACTGTAGTTTTTGTTTTTTTTTGAAACTGAAACTGAAAGGAAAGGAAAGAAAGGAAAGGAAAGAAAGGAAAGAAAGGAAAGGAAAGAAAGGAAAGGAAAGAAACTAAAGGAAAGAAAGTAAAGGAAAGAAAGGATAGGAAAGAAGGGAAAGAAACTGTAGTTTTTGACACATTTTAGAAAATTGCTTCTTAAAGGAAAAGTCTAATCAATATTTTTATCAATGAATCCCGGTTTCCCCCTCACATATTACCTGTATTCGTCTGAAGGTTACTGTAATTTCTCATGTGTTGTTTGTGTATAATTCTCATTTTGCGGAGCATCTGCAACGGGTATCACGAATACAAACATTTTGTTGCTATTTTTTTTTTGTTTATTTATAGAGTAAAGGAACAGTTAAAACTTTTTTCTGCAAAATGATTCGATGAGATTTTTAAAAGTTTCATTTGTTCCCAATTTCCTAGGCCTGCAAAAAAAAAATGAAGAACCTCAACGTACATATACAAAATTTTCAAAACTAAAGAGATTTGGTGATTCATAAATATAGAATTTTATAATCAAAGATCACCAAATCGTTTTTGCGTAAATCTCTCAGATCTCATCGATTCTTGGCATTACATTTTCCTATATTTTGTCGTTTTTATGATATTTTACACCCTTATCCACCCTGTTAAATCACTTTCAATCGTTTTTTCTCACGAAAAATTCATCTTCCATTTTCTCACATCCGATTCTTTTATTCACGGTCATAATATGTTTCTTTCATCAAGTCATTTTTGTTATAAATGTACATTTTTAGTCCAATGAAGTGACACTTTCAAAATTGGAAATGCCTGGTACAAACACGGTTATTTAAATACAAAAAAAGAACAATTTAATGAGGTAAAAGTAACACTTTACGAGAATGAAGAGAAGTAATGCAAACTTGGGGTAGGCCTACTTTGCGCCAAATTTTTTGCGCAACAGGGTCATTTGCGCAACTAGGTCTTTTGCGCAACTCGCCATAACTTTCTTCTAACTCGGCCAATCTTTATGATTTTGATTTCATTTTGTAGATCTCAATAAGTGCACCAAAATCATAAAGATTGGTCCACTCGGAAGAAAGTTATGGTGAGTTGCGCAAAAAAAGTTGCGGAAACTAGCCTACCCCGCAAACTTTTCGTCGATGAGCTACTGTAGCCAGACATTTGCTTAATGCTTTCTGACTGTAATGCGCTATAAAACACGAATTGCTTTCACAAATTTTTCGCGATCTTTGCAATCACAAATTTCACATTCTCTCACAATCTTTACTAAATACCTCTAGAATACTATATTCTTTGCTTTTGTTTTACTTTTTTTGCCGGGAGAATGTCTGAATGAATAAGTAGATTGAAAAATATGCAGTGAGTTAGGCTTAATTTGATTCAAAATGTCTTTGTCCTATTAGACCATTTTCTTATTTTTTTCTTCTATCAGCTTTCTTTATCTATTTGTTTTTTTTTTAGATGAACGACAACAAAATCGTCGTCACCAAATCACACTTCGATGACTTTTCCGTGCCGACACCTTGGAGAAAATTCGAAGTGATTTGCGAAGGGCGATCGTTGTAAGTTTTATTTTAGCTTTTAATAAATACTAGACAAACTCTTAAAATTCTATTACAACGCCATTAAATTTTATCTACATAGTGGATACGTGCAACTGAGGCCAACTTTCACTTTGTCGGCACTTTTTCTGTTTAGGCTTCCCAACCATCAGCTTTCTTTTTTATCTTAGCATTTGCACTTTTTCATAAGTGGTACGAAAGATTTCCCAACCCCTTTAAAAAAATCACGGTGTGGCGCAGGTCACTCCCCGGCCAGGCGAAAGTCGGTCCAATACTATGCAAATGGTTCAAAAAGAAAGATGATGATTGGGGGGCCTAAACAGAAAAAGTGCCACTTTGTCCAGCGCGATTAATTTTTTATTTTTAGGTTCCTCAACGCTGGATGGCTTGCTGAGTTATCGCCATTTTTCGCCAACTATTGTTTTGGTAGCGACAAACATCCCGGACGTGCAACTTACAACGCTTCAGAAGATCTTCATTACAACGAACTGCTCGAATTCTTTCGATGCAATTTTTACTGTCCGATGCGGAAACCTCTCAACAGTAAGTATTATTATTTTGGCGGTGTTAAACAGCATGTTAAAGTACAAAGAAGTTAAACGTGCTCTATAACAAAAAAATTTAATTTGAAGTTTAGTTTCCAATGTGACATCCGTGCTTCGAATTGCAAAAGTTTTCAACATGCGTGTGACGATTGCCCGATGCGAGAAGTTCATCGCACTAGCGGCTAAAAATCTAGATCAAACGAAACTTTTGCAGGTAAATGTTCTGTGATTGTGATTGTGAATTTATTGTAATTTAGGTTACTCAAGCAGTCAATGAGTGTGATCCCAATTCAACAACGCTAACTTTGCTGGTGGATCGAATTGCCAACCTCAGTGAGAAAGATTTATCAACTCTACATGTATGTTTTAAAATTTGGCTTATTTTGAGTAAAAAGCTGCGAATTTCGTTAGTGATCTTTACCGAAGTGGTATAACGTGCAAGGAGTTAATATTCACGAAAATAAATTGTTAAATGGCATTTTTTTAGTTCCAAGATATCCCCGGAGATGTTGTTGCCGACGTTTTCACGCACAGAATGAACTCGAAGAAGGGAAAAAAGAAAAAACTTTGTACCCTTATGTAAACCCACTTGATTCATCTCTAAATCACATTAATTTTGTTCTAAATTCATTAGCGTTTAATTCTTAAATTGTTAATTGTTAATTGAATAAATTAGCGATGGTTGAAATTACCAAAGTTAATTCTTGTTATATCTTTAAATCACCATTTATTGTTGTTGTTGTTTGTCAGAAGATTGTCTTTATTTTGTTCACAATGTTTAGTGCTTTGCATAAAAAAAAAATTTATAATCACACTTTATTAAAAATGAACAAAACAATTGTATTTATAGGGCTTTCATCGGCGATTTAAAAGCCAAGAAAAGAAAATCGAATCATTCAGTACACATAAAGCTTCTTCGAAAGTGGAAAGACATTTTGGACTGACAAAACTATATAGTTACACAAACCTAAACACTATTTTCCAAAAAAGAATCACAGTTTGGGACTAAATTGCAAAAAGGATGCCCCGAACCGGGATCGAACCGGTGACCTTTAGATTACTGACCATGAGCAGCTTCAGTCTAACGCTCTCCCAACTGAGCTATCGAGGCAGTTGGGGAGAGAGGGAAAAAACGGCGAGAGAAATGAGCTGTCGAGGCTGCCGGCTGCGTGGGCCGCGGAATCCTTGAGAACCACAGGGAAAAGATATGAATGTCAATATTAACACAAAAATCAAGACGCTAACAATTTTAAAAAAAAATAATAATAAAGTGAATCTCATAGAGGATTTCAATAAAAGAAAACGTTGAGATGCTTCAGAATGACACAATCATTTTTGTTTCTGCATTTGCCCACAACTACTCGGAGTGACGGAGAAATTGTTTGAGAATTTCTCTTTTGGCGAAAACGATGCTCCATATTGAGAAGATTGAGACGGGTTCGAGTTTCGTTGGGTTAAATAGCGATTTGATTGATCATCTGAAATGAGATTGATCTTGAAGTGCGGCTTTCTTTCTTTTCTTTACAGTACAGAGTCGGATTTTGAGCTATGTATTTATTTCTATACTTCTATTATGTCTACTTACAAAAGGGGTACTGTGATTTGTCGATAGTCCAATTGCGTCCTTTATCCCCGTTATTCCCCGCACCTGCACCTCCATTGCATCCATTTGTTGCCACTCGTCCTTTTCCTCCTTCCGATTGCCAATATTGAGCGTATTCCTTGGAAAAGTGATTTGAGCTTGGATCTGAAATTCGTTTAATGTAATGCAAGTACTGTAGTTTAAATGTACTGTAGTTTTAATGTACTGTAGTTTTAATGTACTGTAGTAGAATGTACTGTAGTTTTAATGTACTGTAGTAGAATGTACTGTAGTTTTAATGTACTATAGTTTTTCATTTCCTTACCGCTATTTCTTTTTCGTCGATTCCTTGGTGATGAATAATCGTAAAAATGAGGTTCTTTAGCCATAGCAGATCCCATTCTGAAATTTGTTTCTTTTATTTAGCAAGGAAGCTTACAAGAAAGCTTACAAGCTAATATTAAAGTTTTTTTCTTCTTCTTCTTTAAAAATAATCAATATAGAAATAGAGTCGAAAATGATCGATGAAATGATCTTTGAGGCATCAATGAGAGAAATGAAATGACAAGAAAAGTGAAATGACAAGAAATAACCGAGAACAAATGTCGGAGATGGGTCAATGACAAGAATCGATCATATTTTTGAACAGGCAGAAGTGACGAAGCAATAAGGCTCAGTGTAAGGAAAATATTTATCAAGTTTATGTCGCAAAAATCCCCCTCCAAATCAAAACATTAATCCAATCTTCAAAGGTGTTCATTTTTAGAAAAAACTCCTAAAAACAAAGCATCGTTTTTCAGCGCTCCGCACACAAATCCTTATTTTTTTTTACATTCACCAGCCAATTAGTGCTAAACGAAGAATTGAAAATAGATCGGAGTAGAAAAACCGACTG